AAATCTTCCTCTAATATGACTCATTTTATTTATGAAAACCTTGTTTAGTTACTCAAAAAATGTTATCATTCCGAGCATTGGATGTGATTTTTTATAGTTTATAGAGATCATGTTCCCATATTCTATAAATGTAATTTATTAATTACATTAATTTTCAATCAAGTTACAATAACTTGACGATGTTTAAATTATCCAATAAGTACAAAGTTAATCGTACGTTTTTGAAATAAATATTTTAAAGAGTGAGATTAAATTACGTAGGCCGTTATTAATTACCGAGAAATAAAATTAATCCAGTCATCATAAATTATTCATTCTCTCGCCATTTCACTAATTGAATGAGAATTGTCACTCGAGAATTAAACGATATTATGAAATATTAGTCCGTTTTAAATTTGTTTTAATTTATGCAAGTACTACACAACTTCTTAAAAGAGGGTAACCTATGTATAAAATGTATATATCGATGATAATTTGACATAATAAACCAACAGCTACAGCTATATCATTTTTCATAGAAGTTAAGATTATAGTAAATAGAATATTTTAATATATTTATTGGCGGGATTTGAATCATGATATTTTTCTACCTCAAGTTGCGTGTAATAAACGCGAACTTAAAAACATACAGACTTTTATTACAAAGGGCTTAAATGCCTTTTATTTATATATCAGTAAAATATTTAAAATATCTTTTCAGGCTATTCACATAGATTCCGGTACATCTAAAGCTGCGCCGGAAGTAGCTATCTCCGTTCCACTTTCCGCGTAGTAAATCAGAGCTCACTACTCCTCTGGCAACGCGCCACTAACTATGAATCTTGCCATAATATTGCCATTCATTGATAGCAGTGTGATCTAAGTGTCAAAACAGTCTTTAAACTGCTTGAAATATATTTATGTGGTTTAAATACCAATACTAATATTTATATCTAAATAAATTTTGTATGTTTTTGTCATGAGAAATACTGTATCTCTAGTCTCTGCCTCTGTGTTAAGGTCTCTGTTGGAAGGTCATCGCGTTGAATTGAACATTACGTGAAGGGCATATGACTTATTTATAGTCAATAGTCAAATCTTTTATTCCAATTAGACCACCTAAAATGGCACTTTTGAACATAAAATAAAATATAAAGATGATTCTAGTTGCCCCTTCCGAAAGGTAGAGTCGTGTGGAGAATAATGGGCAAGAAATTCCACTTACTCTTTTAAAATAGGTTTTACAATATTTTGTATACATTAGTTAAATAATTATATGTGAAGACAATGTACTTCTAGAATAACTACTATAGGTACTTGAATCATCAAGTCAGTCTTGTCATCATCATCAGTCATGTATCTTATGTTCCATAATAAACATATTTTATTTTATTTTATTTTAATAGGCACAAAGTGTTACTTACAAATTAAGCAATGCAGCGGATAGGTCAATTATTGTATTGTATACATGTTCCTCACATATTTACAAATATTGAAACCGTAGAATATTATACATTAAAGATGATAATAATCATGAAAACAATAAAACAATGTGTGAGATAAAAATAGAATAGTTACAGTTTGTAGTGTTGTAAAATAAAAAAATATATGTAAAATTAGATCAGCAACCAATGTCAAGACTCTATGATTGTCCTATGGAGCATATCTTAGAACCAACTAATGATAAAAACAACAATATATTAGATTTAAATATTAGTAATTATGTACTCGATATTAAATAAATAAAAATATATTCATGACAATACCACAATTGAAGTTGAAGTTTGTCGAATGAAGAACGCAGGACGGCATAATGTGAGCCAACTCACTCTTAGGCACGTATCAGACCGGTGTCAACGTTCGCCGCCAGCTTAGGTTGTCTTGACATGACTTTTTAATTAAGGAGTCGCATAATTAGATTGGTTTTTCTTGGATTTCCTAAGCTTTGATTAGATTTTTAGTTGAATGTAGTAAAAATAATAATTAAGCCTTATTTATTCCTTGAAACATTTATCCATATTTACGAAACATACACAGTACACACACTTAAAATTTTATACAAAAAAATTATATTTTTTTTCAAGGACCTCTTATAGAGTATAGGCTTCCTCTGCCTCCGTCTCTCGCTATCTTAAGCATTTTTCTCCCGATCGCCTCCTCTCGAGCTCTTCTTTAAGCTAGTTAGCCCACCGTGCAAGGTGCCGTGCGACCTCTCTTTCTTTTCCCTATCTCATCATCATCTACCATAGTTCATGCGAGCGATGTGGGCCGCCCATTTTCACTAAATTTTTGTTTTAATTGGATAGTGAATTAATATCTCTATCTCTATATTTTTAGTCGAATATGTGAATGCGAAAAATAAATACAAAACTCTATGATGTTTCTTTTTATTTTAGTATCATTTGTATATCACAATTTCCGTTACACTCAGCAACAAAATCAGTACATTACAAAGAGATACTGCGATATAAATGTGCGCCGCAGTAACGTTGAGAGCTTTTACGAGCCGACATTTGACGCCATCTCCGCGCTTTAAATTATTTTAATGATCGGAATTATGAGTTATAAATCTCCCGTCTTTATATGTTCTCGATTATGAGTGTGATATAAGTCATTATTATTACTTTTAGCCAATGCTGTAGATGTGATCTTCAGATACGGGATACGTGATATTTAAAAATTAATCTCGTGTGACCTTAATGCTCATCAAGCAAAAGTATGTCGGAGAATAAGGACATAATTTACGAATTAAATATCTGATTCTCGCAAACGCTAAGCTTACAAGTATAATGCTAAAGCTAAGTAGCATTACTTTTAGATACCTGTTACGAAGGCGGCTCCACAAGTAAATATGTGGTTTCGTGATTCATAAAATGTCGAGACTAATGTTAATAAATATCTATTCTCAACTGATAATTTGTTGAAACCACTATATTAATAAATTTACAGTTGGAAACACTTAATTGTATTTCATAAAGATTATTATTCTAGTGCAATATTTTCACGTATTCCATTATTGTATGTAATTAACATATTGTGCATAAGTTTACGAAACTTTCGGGTTACGTTGAACGTGTTTCCATAACGTTTGTTATTAAATTTATTGTGGGACCATCTGTATACGTGCGAGTTAATATGAGTTTCGAATAATTTTACAATAACCTCTGGGTATTTTGCTTTTTAGATCAACTTTGTATAAAGGCCTGTATTCACTTTGATTAGTGATTAGTGCAGGTGTGCAAGTAGTGTCCAATTCTTGTTTAGTGGCTCTGTTAAGTAAATTCAGTAGTCTGTAGTAGCTGTCAATCAGCAAGTATGGACGAACATCGAGAAGCGCGCTTGCAATTGGAAGAAGTACTGAAAGAAGTATTAAACGCGGTGCCATCTAAAACCGAAGAAGTTTTGGAAGCTGAACATGCATGACCAAGAAAAGTATGGGTTCGAAAATAGATTAATAGAAGACCCATTCATGTTGCAAGCTGACAACTCTATAAGAAATTGGCTGCTGAAGATACGATGGAATATTACTTTGCTCTCAGGTTGACCGAAGAGTCCAGACGTGTTTTGGCAGGCACACTGCGAGTGAGGGGGAAGGAAGGCCGCACGCGACGTCACTACTCGCAGTTCACCCGCAAAAAAATAGAACACGCTTCTTATCACTTTACTACGCAGCCAACTTATCACCTGCACTAATCAGTCGCTGTCCACACTTGTTTTAAATTTAAGAAATGTATTAAAGAAAGGCTGTGTAAAAAGGCTTACTATAAAGTTAACGATTTTCTAATTGATAAAATGTTTTAAAATAAGTGTCGTTTGATGATTTGCTATTTTAAAAGACTGAAAGAGAAACCAAGAGATTTTTAACCCGGTTTTTTCTCTCGGCCTACACCCTCTGTCTTTTTTGCCGATGTAGGGATGCCTACCGATTCAAATTGACGTGGAGTAAGTGATACCTGTATCTTATGTTCCATAATAAACATATTTTATTTTTAATCACCTGCACAAATCACTAATCAAGGTGAATACAGGCCTTCACGCGATTAACTGTTTATTAAAAACAATACTTTATTTTTAACTAAGTTTTAGTTTACTTTCTTAGTAGACACAATGTATATTAGAAAAACAGTTATATGTTATATTAACAGTTTATATTACAAATGATTGTATACAATCATGATTTTACATACAAAGGTATAACATTGTCTATATTCGTCGCAATTTCAAATGCATAGAAGAGTCGTGGCTAACTAATTCATACTCGTATTAATAAGATCCTTTGAGTTGCTAATTCAATGCTTTACTTCGACAAAATTAAACAATTTCTTGGCTAAATATAACGTACAAAGTAAAATATATTTGTGATCCTTTATTAAATTATTTTTTAACTAAATAATTTTTTTTACCTCTCATATTTATAGAACAGGAAAAGGCTATATTAGATTGTTCTCCAAGTATAACGTAGAACAATAGTTCCGAATGTTTGGTGTTGACAGTATGGGACAAAGCGTTTGATCTTGAACAAGCAGCAACATACAGTGTAAACTGTATTGCAAATTGCACCTCATTGTTCGACCTTATTCGATACTATTTTATTTATAAAAGGTTATAAACTGTGGTTTACAGAAGTCGAAGTGGAGAATTTTATTAAAACCGTCAATTTACGGGCAGGTCAGTCGAAAGTTATATTGATGGCCTGAAATTGGCGTATTTTTACTCTAGTAACACAATATTAAAAGTTGTTTATCAAATTTAAGGTATTTTGTAAATTTAGGTCTTTTGTTTTGTTATCCTATAGTAATGTTCGTCTGTGTAGACTTATTAATTTTAAACAATAATATGTTATAATCGCCTATTATCGATGTCACATTGGTTGCAAAATGTATAATTTCTTCTATCCTGTTTTTCGTTGTTTTGTCTTGTCTCTGTTGTTTGTTGCCTTGTTGGCAACCATTACTAAATAAAAAAAATGTACTTGTGGTATATAAACTAAACCTATGATATTATTCCTGATGAGCACACAGTCTGGGTGGGCCCGGGGTGGATGCGCACGTTCGTCACGACTCCGGGGACGTTGTTCTTCACGCCAAGTTCCTAGTCAACGACGGCGGTCTTGTGACCGCCACCGCCGACGACCAGCTACATCTATGGACATTTCGGCAAAAATCCCCACAGCGCGTACAATCGCTCAAATTTCAAAGAGAACGGTAAGTGTTGTATTTATAAAAATATTTATTACAAATTTATCGTTATAAGATAACTCCAACCAAAATATATAAAAAAAATATATTCGGGATTTTGACGTAAGTTTTACTACGTAATTTACTCATCAGATATCAACGCTTTAGTTGTTATTATGTAATTTAGTAGTAACCCGAATATAACTGTTTTTAGAAAAACTGTTTTAAACATGTATGTACCATGTACCACGTTATAATTGTTTTCTAGTTACCCACAACACAGGGACTCTTTAGTGTGGGGACTAGCGATAGATGAATTTTGTCACAATCCTTTTATCATGAATAAAGTTTTGATTATTTATTATTTAAAATAACAATAAATACTACTGCAAAAAGTAAACTTATCTTAACCAAGTGCTTAAATGTGGAATCTATATTAAGTAGATTCTAATAATCTCTAGTGCCAATTTAGAAGAATTTATCGCAGATAATCCGCAACGCATCAGTTGTCATATCTAAATTATATAAAGAGACAATGGGGGTGGTATGTGGAAAAGATGAAACGAAGGGACCCCACTATGCCGCCCTTCCCACGATTAATTGTACGACGGAAACCGCGTCGCTTTACCACAATCCTCTGTTTTATACCCGACGTAGGCTTAGCGTAGAAAGGATCCTCACAAATCCTCGGTAACTGTAGCTTATAAACCGTTTTTACCTCGTTCATTTAATAACAATGTATGTTAAAACGGTATTGATGTTGCTTCATTTAAATTAATAGAGCTTTATCATTTTTGTACTACATATTAAGTTGCCAAGTGAAAAATTACTTACTATACGATTAAATTCCATTATAAACTTGTAAGTTGTTGTCAATATAGTCAGGTGATATTCCAGGCATTTGCTAGTATATGTTACTAGCAAATGCCTGTTCTTATAATTGATGCACAATATTTCTACCTTCACCGATCTAATAAAGTAAAAGATAAAGATAAGTATTTATAGTGGGATACATAAATTGAGCGGTGGCTAGGAGCTTCAGCGTGCGACTCTCATCCTTGAGGTCGTAGGTTCTATCTCGGTGGCTGTGCACTAGTGGAGTTGCTTTCTATGTGCGCATTTAACATTCGCTCGAACGGTGAAGGAAAACATCGTGACGAAACCGGCTTGCCTTAGACCCAAAAACTGGACGGCAAGTGTCAGGCACAGGAAACTGATCACCTACTTGCCTATTACATTGAAAATGATCATGAAGCAGATACATAAATCTCAGGCCCAGTCCTATAAAAGTTGTAGCGCCAATGACTTTATTTACATAAACTAAAATGTGGATAGAAATAAGGATATTTCACAGTACAAGTCTCAATAAATAAAGTATACTGCATCGGCAATGTGGAACTTTGTGCTCAAACTTGATAAGTGAATAGAAAATTGTCGCAGTAGCGTGGACTCCTTAGCTTTGCATTTCACATTGTACGCCGGGGAATATGACGTATCGGTTTATTGAAGACGGATTGAATTTTCGTGTTATAATCTTCATTGCTACTTTAAATTCTAAACGAAGTGCAAATGTCTGAAGCGCGTAGGGTATTATGAAATGTATTTTTTGTATATGTAAACCTTGTAGAATGTTTTTCCGAGGATAAAATAAAAGTTAACGTGAAATAATTATGTCCAACGTTAGCGAAAAGTACAGACAAGCAATTGAGAAAGTTGTTAAACTAAACTTTTGAATGGTTAACTGTTAAAGTTTTATTAAGACGGACATCTTGAAGAGAGTGATGTTTGAAGAAATTATATTGCAGACAATTAAGATATAAACTATAAGTAAAGGAAGTTACGGAATACAGTCGAGTATAATTTAGTATAAGTATATTGTAGCTAATCATGCTGAAAAATAAAAAAATATAATGGAAGACTATAGAACATTTCATAATTCACGGTCAGTTTTAAAAGGATATTGAAATTGATTACAGACATACAAAAATACAAATCTGTTCTCTTTAAAATGATATTTGAAAGTAAACGGATACTGAGATATCATACCAATAACATTCTTGTAACTGGTATCATATCTCATTCTTGTTACTGATATGATATGTTCTTTAACTCTTAACTATTTTCCCCTTTTTAATCTTAATAATCGAGTATACTTTGTGTACCTTTCTAAACGAGCTTGACCATGTTCTTTGATTACCGTAGAAAAGCAAACTTGAGCAATAAACGTGGGTGTAGTTTAATTGCAGTCTTTACGAGGATCTATCCGTTCAGTTCTCGTAGTGGCCTCATCTTAGCGCTTTCTTCATAACATTGAAGATGCTGTAAATTTAGAGTAATATTTACTATTTGTATTATGATTAATAATAATGTAATTTAATATGAACATTACCATTACGCATATATACGCATCATTATTTTTATAAGCATTATCGACGTATCAAAATATTTCTATATGAGGGAAATACGAGTAGTAAAAACTCCCATATTAGTACACATTTTTTTCTTTGATGTAAATATTATTATTTATCCGTTTAATATAAGCTCTCGTGACAATAAAGATAAACTTAAACCTATAACTATTTATTTTATATGAATACGGTTGCATTGTCCATAATTGTAATAACATTAGATGATTAGATTCATTAACACTGAACAAGCTATGGTAATAAATGTAACAGAGACGAATTTAAAGGAAATAATGTTAAGACGCATCTTTCTGGAATTTGCTGTAAAGGTCATTTAAAAAGTTGTAAAAAGAAATAAATAGTAGTGTTTAATCATCCGGGTTACCAATACCATTTATTTATGTTATCTAATACCTCCGGCAACAACATAGTCCGGGAATTATCTAGAAAATATTATTAAAAGGAATTATATAAACATTAGATCATTACAGAGATTCATATATTGCGCAAGGTGGCTAAAATACACTTATATTTTGATTAAAAATCCTCAGTAAAATACTAATGATATATAACATTGTATTCTCTTAGTTTAAGTTGTAGTTAGTATTGGTAGCGTAAGCTGTTTAACTGAGCAGGTAACAACTCCGTGAAATAACTCGTAAGAAGTGCTTAGATAGGATAATCCACCTTTATCCAATCCACATTTCATTGAAGCCATTTGCATACGTATAAAATAGGTAATTAACATGTACGGTAACAATACATCTCCCCCATCCCCACACTACATAGAAGGCAGCGATGGCCCACGAGGCCGTAATTACTCGGCCATTGCGTAGAACGGCATCCAGCTTACATTAGTGAGATTTGAAATGTTTTACTGAAAGTGATGATTTTACAACCTTACCTTAATAAAAATACGCCTAATAATAATAAGTATTTTTATAAACTATTTATATGTATGTATACCAAGACACACACATATAGACAAACCGACTATAAAATAAGCTATAAGAACAATTCATAATTATTGTAGTATTTTTTTTCTTGCCGTCGGTGTAAGTGAATATTTATTTTACATTATTGCAATAAAATTAATATTGTTGTGATTTAATCGGCTTAATAAACAAATATTGTTGAATAACATCTTACGTATTATTAGGATTAGTTACGTTATTTCATATAATGTAACAATATAACAAACTCTAAAATAACGTGAATTTATACGATATGATATTTCTTCTTATATGAATTTTGAAAGCGCTGACACAAAAAACATTTCGGGAGTCGTTAAATTTTATGGCAAATTTAATCGCTGGTTACTCTAAATTGAACGTGTGTTAAACCTTAATTTGAAAAACCTTATTTCATAACCATTTTGTAGAAATGACTACTATATAAGTCTAACATTAATATTGATAACTTTTATAAACCTTCAAAATGTTATTGAATATAGATGAAAATATTAAAACTTGCATATTATTTAAAACTTTCTGTTTAGTAAATCTAATGACAGTGATCGCATTTACTACTTAATTTTTTGGTTGATGACATTTATAACATGAATAAATTGATCTATTGAATTTTCATTAGGTACGCTAGTTCTTAATGTATTTTTTTTTTTGTCGCGTAAATAATAACCTACCACAAATAGACATTTATTACTAAAATAGTATTGCGTGAATCAACAATCAATCGTTAACTTAGATGGGATGGCGCTATTTATCATCACATTGACTACATTAATAGAGAGATATTTAAGTTAAGCTAATTTTTAATGCCGCCCGATAACCTATTCGTTTGTTCCAATTACATCAGTTACGCGATAATCGCTTTTCTGTGATTATACGCGTACTGTGACGCCACATGACACACGCGATCCGTTCGTTACCTCGGAGTTACAATTACCGTAACAACTGTCCTTATCGCCGACGGTTTTTACATCTAATTCTAGCAAAATATTTTCGTGCAAATATTGTTTTCATACAAAAACATATTAACAATTGAAATTCAGTAGAACAAAGCGGGCGGATTAATGGACGGGTTCTGGTGAATGAACAATTTCATTTGTTGTTCACGTGGGAACGTGATTGGCTGGAATCACCGACTGACAATTAAACATTTAAATGGGAATTTGTTGGTATTTATTTAAATTTTGTAACAAGTATATTTGGCTTGATTTTTTACTCATTTACTATTTGATAATTAGTTGTTAATGGATTCACTTTCAATAACGGTAATAAGTTTTCTATTATATCTATGTCTTTGTATGACATAGTATCTGACCAAACAACTAAAATATCCTTGTGATGTATAGAAACAAATATTATTTGTGAATTTAGTTGTTTTTCATCAACAAAGTCTAGTTGCTAGCTTACATTATAAACCTAGAACCGATTTAAAATATTAAATTAATCATTTGTTGTTGAGTAATTTGATGAGAATCTCTCAACTTTTCGAGTAAAACTTATTCAAATTTGAAAGAATAATCCTGTCATAAAAAGTTTTATCTGGCTGCCAGTCTGCATTAAGTTAAGACATTTTAAATAATAATTTATGAATTCTATAACATGTTTTTCCTTGATTTCAAATAATTAAAATATTTCAGTGCAATACGTTGTAGGTATGTCCTTAGAATTCTAGGTAATATAAACCTTCGCATGCTCATGTGTGATCTAAAGCCAAATCCTCAATTTAGCGCCAGAATCTGTGCGTTTTACGTGTATATACGCGTTTTATAGGTTTCCAATAGATTGAACCGGATAAAATAAACCATTTTCATTTTCCAGCTATGTCACATTCAATGGTTTAACGTGGTTACAAACACATTCAAACGAATGTTCAGCAAATTCAAGAGCAAAAGAGTTTTTCTGAAATATTTGCAGTTTACAAAAAAATTGTATATAGAAACTTTAAATAATCTAGAAATCAAAAATGTTAAACTATGCTACATAAGTTTAAAATCTTGTTCCGAACTCAGAGTTCTAAAGTTTTCTGGCTTAAAATATAACTTTTGTGTTAAGGAAAATATGGGTAAAATAAATTCGCTTCGTTTAAAGAAGTGGAATATAATAGCATCGTTATTTTTTAAAGAAAACTTATATATACCTTACCTTACACATGCCATGCCTCTATACCCCAACAATTATTTTTCGTTTGAATCTTGGTTATATGATATAGACGTTATCCACTTGACCGCGGCTGTTATAATGGTATTGATTCCTTTAGATTCCGTAACATACGTAGGCAAAACAATCATAAAAACTTAAAGAAGAGCTGGTCAAAAATAACATTAATATTGTAAACTATAATGCCCATACAAAATGCCGTTAGTTACCAAAAGTTTTTGTTACTACACTTATTACAAATCAATCAAAATACGTTTATTCAGTTTAGATTTTATTTAGTCTTAGGGCATGCTTATAAATGTCAAAAACGTTAACAAAATTCGCGAAAGAGCAAGACTACGCCATCCGTTCGCAAAACTACCAGGAGGCCTTGTTCTGAAAAGAACAGGCAAGAAACTCAGCAAGTTTTACCCTCCCTCTCAAACACACACAATTACAATTATTCAAACGAAAATGTCATAAACCACAACGTCATTAAAGTTACATAAGTAAAAAAAAATAACAACCTGTTCTGTGATTTACCACATTCACCAATATACACATATACACAACACATATTAACAAAACAAATTATAACAATATAATTAGAACTATTGCCAAGCGTTTTATCTTCTAGGTAGTCATTAACTGTGTAGTAACCTTTATCTGTTTAAAGGCAGTTCCAATACAATATTTAGTAAACCTTAATATTATTTTATTACAGGATAACCTGTCTACATCTTCCGTTGTCTTCAAAATGGATGCATGTTGGCACAGAACGAGGGAACGTGCATGTCGTCAACATCGAGACGTTTGCCCTCAGCGGCTACGTTATAAACTGGAATAAAGCAATCGAAGTGTGAGTAGTAAATGTTGTAATTGGATCACCACTCACATACACTCACGCCGCTGGTTCTAATGTCTTAACCTTCGAAACGAGATGGAGGCATCGTTTGCCTTTTTTTATGTCATATATGCGTTTCATTTGATTGTCGTTGGTCGTAGGGATCTTGCGGCGAATGTATAAACAGTTCGGCCACACGCGACGCATTATTGAACATTATGCTGTTGACCAATCCGACATGCCATCGTATCGTCTTATCGTCTCGCCCCAATAGATTTTTTTATATTGAATTTCACAATATTTAGATGTCTATGTCACAGGCAAAGGTAAAGTATATAAATGATGGCAGAATGAACATTTTCTAATGACTTTTCTGTAGAAATGATAAATTAGTTTATGAAATGGATGTCTAAAGATTTGACGGAGTCGTTAGCCGCAGCTAATTACCCCATTTATTCTCTCTTGCATCATCGTCTGCGATTTATCTTTACAGTTAACAATACAAGCACACGATCACAGACATTCAGTACATTTATAGAAAAAAACTTGAAAATGTGCATCGCTTTATTTGTAACGTTTAATACCGTTTCTACATAAAACATATGCTACAATTTTTCAAATATTTTTAAGTCTTAATATCTATATCTATCTTGAGATATTACAAGAGTTTTTAACAAACTTTAGGCACTCCTTATTCAAATTTCAAAGATAATTCTAATATTTAAGTTCGTATTTGTGTTTCCAAGGCGCCTCCGGTAATTACTTGTTTACGGATTACTTGGAAAATGGCAAAGCTTGAGAAGTTTATGTACCCTCGAAATTAATTAATCGACAAAAAATAAGGAAAAGATTTCGACAACAGGTTTTTATTACACGTAGATTATGAAAGGTAATTATAGCTGACAATCCGTCCGTAGCTCCAAACCGGCAGTAAACGACCATAAAATGGCTTCTAGGAAATGTTGTTTGAAGCTTTTTAAAGAGTTTATAGTAGCTCGTAACAGGTCTACAATCTCGTAGCGAGCGCAGCCTCTAGAGGCCATTACTTAGGTCGCGTCATACAGGTTTCAGTTTTTAACAGCATTATGTGATACAAAGTTCTTACGGTACTTCTAAACGATGTTCTGGAGAATTCTTGACGTATAAACCCTCAAAAACTTTGCTTTAATATTAAGACACTTCTGTTTTAAAATTATAAGTATATAATTTTAATTGTAATCACATTGCAGCAATCTTAGTTATACCGTTATTTTTGGCAATACCAACTTTCCACATTGCTAACTAAGCAAACGAATACCATTTTAACTATCAAATTATACCATGTATATAACTAAAGCTGTTTAAATTGTTAAACAAATTACCTTAAATAAAAATGTGTATCTTTTGAAATTGGACATTTCTAAAGAACACGGACGGTGCTACGGCGTAGCGGCTACGTAGCCGGTTTAAGCGTAATGGTTTAATAGCTACAGATAGCGGCGCTCTTCCGAAGTGTAAAACATAATGTTCAATAATGCGTCGCGTGGCCGAACTGTTTACACATTGTGTAGCAAACATTAACGTTTACGAGCTGTCTCTGCGACTATCACCCTCATTACCTAAGCACCAACTATTTTTCATAAAAATGTAACAACATATTTTTTCTATCTTTTTAATAGTGATTAATAACAAAATATATATGTTTAAATACCTTAAAACAACCTTATCTTGAAGTAACAACAAATTACAGCTCTTAACTAATTAATCCCGTACAAAGTCTCTTAGCGTCTAATTAGGACAACAAGTAGCGCCCTATACTTACAATAATTACCCCACCTATTTAATTGTCTTAGGCAACTTTAACCCTTTGAACGTCTAATACCGTTATAAAGGTAAAAGTTTTATGACAAAAATTTGGCTTTAGTGATATTATTTCATTATGACATCAATTAGTTATATTGAAAATCAATCTAAATTATTTTAATAAATATACTAGTTTATCAAGCTAGTTGCTATTATTTCGTAATTATGCTTTATTTTTATTACGTAATTTATAGTTACAGATTTAATTCACATCTCTGTCTTGTATAATTAGTATTCCAAGTAATTTTAATTTTATTTATATCTCCATGAGAATTTAATGGAACATATTTAAAATATATAATACGTAGTACATATATGACGTAGAGAACTGCGTTATATTATGTGCTTGGTCAACCCTAGTTCCACGCCTACTCGCTATGTAACTCGAGCGGTATACGTTAAATATTTATCCCCTTTTAGATTGTTAGGGTAATGCAATACCGGCATTTGCATTCGCCGCCTTCACATGCTCTTATCTCGTACTTGGTTGATTCTAAACTTAAAAAGTACACAGTGAATCAAGATGTAGGTTTCTTGTTTGCAAATAAATAGATTACATCCGTAGCATTCTGAAGATATAGGATCTGTAGTATATTTTTTATTAGTATAAACTTATATAGCAAAAATACATAGGCATGGTTATTTTCTAATTAAAAAATAGCGAGACTTTCCTGGCTCTGAGATCCAAAATGTGTCAAAATGATCAAACCTCTGAAATCAGAATTTTCAACCACTATCAGTCCTGTATTTCCTCCCTTCATGTACTGATAGGTCGTAAAGTGTATAACGAGGGACAGCCAGGCACAAAGTACCCAAAAATCCTACGTCATAACCAGATGGCCCATGAATTTGACACATAAAACGAACAACTTGATGCAATACTGTATCGCATCCCCATTTAAACTTTATTTTAAATTATAATTATTATTATTATTAAATATTACTCTATGCTTAAATATTTTTCTTCCTTATACACATCGCAAAATAATTACACAATACTGATAAAATTAGTTATGTTTTAACCGCCCACCACACTGCGGTTTGATCCCTACCAAGATTCATTAAATTTTCACCAATCGTTGCGGCGGAAGATACTTGATTAATTTACAAACCCCCATTAGTATATGATATATTTATTTGTAATGTTAGTTATTTTGTAGTGTATGAATATTTAAGACTATTTTGTCGTTTCTATGTGAATATATATTTTCAAAAAAAGTGTTTCCCGTTCTCATTACGCGAAGAGCGCTCTCTTGAAATTGATGCAACTCAATTAGTTGTGGAATAACAAGAGTGTTAATTGGATGCTGTGTCCCGCCGCAGGACAGACGGTACGGGACCAGACAATTAAACTCGTTATTACATACCCGCAAGCCTCGCAGAAATCCTTCAATTGTTACAGTTTCATTGTTGAGAGATTCTATAAGTGAGCAGTGTAAGCGAAAGCTTAATATTTCTAGCGGTGTTTCATTGTCTAACATTTATACGTACAGTAATATGTGTGCAAATCCTTCTTCATATGGAGTTTCTCTAGGTAGCTGTTATATTTACGCATATATTTCCTGATGATTTTGTTGGTATATTTCCCATAATGGGAAAAACAACACCCAATATGAAAAATGTAATTATTGTTAATAAGATTGGTAACCTTTGTTCAGATGAACACAATGCATTAATAATTTTTATACGTATTTATCAACATATTTTTTTAATTTGCATCTGCTAATAGCATTAGTCCATATTAAAGGTCAACCCTATAACTAGATCAACCCTGTCTCATAGAGCATGTTTAAATTGCTATCTAAGTATAGTTTAAATATAATAATGAAGAAAATAAAAGGTTTAAAAAATGCTCACATTTTAAAAAACCCGGTAAACAATCCGCCTTCTGTGCCTGACACAAAGTATTGTTTGCGTACATACATAGATTTTATTTATATCTGAAAGGCATCATAAAATACCACCATAATATTTCGTCATACCCGTTCCATGGCAGGCTTGACGCTGTAATATCCGGTAAACTTCCGGTTTCAACACTAACATGGTTAGAGCGCCACTCGAGATAAGTATCACGTACGGCTTAACGCGTTGATAGTTGTTTCTAGACTCTTGACTCTTGGCATTCATCCTTTTTTTTTCGTGAGGAAATGGAAAGGACTTTCGTGAAAGGAGGACACGGTAACAGCGTAGCCTTGTCCGCATTCAGCCACGAGATCAGCTGTTAAACTCACGGTCCTCTACGGCCACGAATGATGTGGAATGGACCTTGGCACAGCAAGGGCCATTCACATGGGCCAGTTCACCCTGTTTTACATTCATTCTGTTTGGCATTCATCCGTCTGAACTTACTTTTTTCTATTTTTAAATGGCTTGCTAACGAAGTCTTGTTTTGGGGTCTACATCAATAAGAGCTAGATAATGTATTAGTATAAGTGGGTACTATACATAAAACGTCTTTAACGCAATTTTGTATACATTGTCTCTTCACTGAGACATCATGGTACTTTACGATATAGCCTAACTTAAGGGGAAGGCTGTTCTTGTGTTCAATTTTGCACTTAGCACTGTTTAGCATTTAAGACTAACGTGCACTAGGCTATTTCAAATGGTTTTGAAGGTACGTTTTGTACGGTGGTGTCAAGAAGTTGAATTGAAGCCTTGACATTCGCGAATTTATAACATTACTAGCTGGTGCCCGCGACTTCGTCTGTGCAGGATTAAAATAATATTTGTCCAAATGATGTAGCGTGAAAGACATATTTTATCTACTTTAAATACCAGAAGCGATAAAAGTATATATTTTCAGGCATCACTTAATTACTACCAAATGTGCATTTGAAATAAATTATCAATTTTTATTGTAGTTATAATTCATTGGCTATAATGGCTTATACATAAGACATAGATATATACTGTGGCTGGCTTTATAGGACTATTTAAGATAAACATTTTCATCATACATTACATATGTGTAACTCTAGCGGTTTTGGCAGCGCACGCCAATATAGCTCACAGATGGTAGATTTTTTCCTACTGCCTTGATATTTTGCACAATTCACACAATATCTTTATAAATAGTAGCCTATGTGTTATTCTGATGTATAAGCTATATTATTGTAAAGTTACAATAAAATCCATTTAGTAGTTTTTACGTGAAAGGGTAATAAACATCCATCCATACTTACAAACTTTCGCGTTTATAATATTAGTAGGATTTACCTTGTATTTTATCCTAGTATGATGTTTATACATTTACCCATTTATACATACACAAGTTTCCTTGTCATTTCATAAATTACTATTGTATATATCGAAGAGGCTGTCACGTAGTTAATTCAAAATATTAGATCATATTTACGGTCGTGACGTTATGAGAGTAGATTACAAATTTGTCATAAAATATCAATTTGCGTGTTTACGAGATGGCGGCCCCTTGATGGAACAATACTGTCGTAAATCCACAACGCAGCATCACCACATAACAATCACTCTAAAATTGCTTTCATGTGAATGAACCGAGAAATCAACTTCATACATGTTGACGTCTATATATATAGAACTTATACCTTAAAAATATATATAACTTAACTAGCTGACCCGGCAAACGTTGTTGCCATGTATATTATTTCTAGGAAACAATTTTTAGTTCAATAAAAATAACTATCTACTATAATAAAAAATAGAGGTTGATTGTCGATGGGTGAAAATTAGGGGTCGTATGTATTTTTGTATGCTGTATCATAAAAAAATAAAAACAAAAAAATTGTCTAAAAAATAAAAATGTTTTTTTTGGGGTGGACACTTCTTATCACTTAGGGGTTTGAAAGATAGATAGTAGCCGATTCTCAGACTTACTGAATATGCATAAGAAACGGTCGACCCGTTTCGGAGGAGTATGGGAACGGACATTGTGACACGAGAACTTTATATATTAGGTTAGACAACTGGTGTCGAGATTAGTATGTTTAACAAACAAATTCTTGAGGTTTATAATATTAAGCATAGAGTAAAAGTAAAAAAGTCAATAAATCCAAAAGAGTTAGACACTTTAAGCAATAGACATTTTTAGCTGTAATTTATTTGCCAAAGCTAATATTTGCTTATGATAGGTTCTTGCCAGAGTAATAGGGCAGTTTCAGTCGGGCCGTTTATTCAGTTGTAATTAGTTTGAGAGAGAGAGCCCGGCCTGTGTTCAAATACTCCTAAATACACTACAATTCGCTTCAATGTTGTCTCAGATACCAAATAGTAATTATTATTTATCCGTATTATGTTTATATTTAATTTAGATGTTATGGAATAAATTATAATCTTAATTAAACTTATTTTAAATTGATGATCCTGTTAGTAATATTGTAAACCTATAAACACTTTCTGTAGGAGTAGTTAGTTGTGCGAGCTGTCGTCTCACATTATAATAAGTATTCAAGAATAGGATGTGAACGGCATAATGCGAGTGAAGGGCGGTTGCTGTCAACAAGTGGCGCCACGCGGCTGACACTCAACGCCTACTCTATCTATAATGATACTTACGAGATTTCGCTGTGTTGTTGTTATTTAAGTTTTTGGTTTATGAACTAAATGCGAAACGGCAGAAGATAATTATTCAAATAAAGTTTTGGTTTACTTTGATTGTTGTGTTGATTTTAATCTTCAATTTTTTTTTGCAGAACTCGACCTAATCATCCCGGGGCGGTAGTAGAAATTATAGACAATCCATTAGACGCTAGCAAGGTAACAATCATGAATAATATTATTAACATTTACATTTCTTGAAATATCTTCAAATTCTTTTGAAATATCAAGGTAAACAAATCAATAACAATAAGGAGTTGGTATCTTGTTCCAGTTGCTGATAGCGTTCGAAAGCGGGTTAATAGTGGTTTGGGATCTGCGGGCGCGTGCAGCAGAGTGGCGTGGCCACATAGGCTCAGGTATGCCGGGGGATGCTATCCGCGCAGCTGCTTGGCATCATGACGGCAAACTCATGACGGCGCACGCTGATGGCGCCCTCGCCACTTGGACTGTACGAGCTCCCAGACCTATCTCGCTATCTTACCCACATGGTATGTACTGTTCTGCAATATTTTGAATAGTAGTTGATTAGTAATCTAAAATATATATGCCAACTTCTAATACTTCCGTGAAAAGTTTTTGGATGTGTTATAACATTTGTTTGATTATGAATGATTTCTAAAAATTATTTTCCAGCAAAAGCTAACAAAGAAGGTAAACTAGAAGCTTGTAAACCTATACACAGGTTGGAATGGAAAACTTCGAAGACGGGGTAAGCATTTTTTCTGTTGTAAGATTAAACACTACGTAATGTAACGGTAATCTACCTTTTAAATTGAATATTGTTTAACTAGATGTATAACATTACAGCGAGACTCTGGTGATATTTTCGGGCGGGCTACCAACGGACAAAGCGGGCCGGACACACAGCATTACGGTTTTAAATGGCAAATCAACCACAGTACTAGAGATGGAGCACAGCGTTGTTGACTTCGTCACTCTCTGTGAAAGCCCACACGCCGCCGGTATGTCGCGTTTGTTTATCATATATTATTTGTATCAGCGATGGTGTATTTAACGAGCTAGATCTGAATATCTACAGGCTTTGATGTTTTTATAATTTGTAATAGTTTTCTTGACTTAATGATTTTTTTTCTCCCTGAATATTTGCCTGTCACACTAAAACTGTGTTCTTTTTATGTTTTTTTTTTACTTATCAATGTATGAGTGTGCGTTGGCTTTTGTAAATAAATATAAAAAATCAGTATCAAGTATCTAATCATCCTTTAATCCTCCTCGAATATTATACGCCGTGTATGAAATTTTGATCTCTACAAATTTTGTTTTTAAACATATTTGTCTAAAATAAAGTTTTGTCGTGGAGTTTTTGTACAATATTAAATTTAATTTAATAGGTAATAGTTTCACATTATTCATTATTTAGGCGTAATTCTTAACAAGTAAATACTAAATAGCGCTTGAAAATAATTAATTATAAAGATTCCTATGTATTAACCTCATTTATTTATAAGTAATCTTACAGCTATAAAAAAAACATTATAAGGAACACCTAGACATAGATAAACAATATAATATATGAAACAGAAAACATAAGTAAGTATACACAAAAAAAAAATGAAATTGAAATTTAACATTAAACAAACATATATTTCTTTAAATCAGGCTTATTATATCATTTTAACATAAGTATGGATTAGTTTTTATGTTATAAGACTGATTTCGTTTTTATGAATACAGTTAGTCTTATATTATTAATAATTTATGAATTTGGGAAACATAATTTATGTGATCATCCATCGTTTTCCAGAATACCAGGAGCCGTATGCGATAGTCGTGCTCCTGCAGAACGACTTGGTAGTAATTGACCTTCAATCGCCGGGATATCCCTGCTTCGAGAATCCTTATCCAATGGACATTCACGAGTCCCCTGTCACCTGCTGCTCATATTTCGCTGACTGCCCCTCGGACCTGGTGAGAACCCAGTCTATAAATAAATAATAGTCTAGAAATCTTATTACTATTAACTATTAAAATAGTTCAGATACTTCTATTTTAACAATACTTTAGTCTCTTTCACTCAAATTATTTTTAAGCTGTGATGAAAAGAATCACATCACTACTTTTGTTAACACAGCGTAGGTAATTTGGCAAGTTTATTTTAGTTTAATTATATCTTGGCATACTTCCCCAAACCAATAAAATATTTATTATTTCTTACTTTACAATGGGATAGTTGTGAAATCGAAAAAAATCAATTGTAAAATTATTTCTATATTAATAACTGACCCTTGCACTTGTACAATAAAGGATAACGTCGTGAGAAGACCGGCATGTCAGCTAAGATTCAAAGACAAGAGTAAGCTCTGGGTGCCGACTCTGATTTTTACCCTAAGACTGTTGCGCCACTGGTTTTTCGATGGTTATATTAAGAAGGTGATTGTAATTTTTAGATCCCAGCATTCTATTCGGTTGGCCGTCAAGGCAATAAGAAGCCAGCTGGCTTCAGCGAAAAATTGTGGCCTGTCGACGGTGGTGAATGGTCACCGGCGTCTTGTTCCTACAGCGAGATCATACTCACTGGGTACGTCCACGCGTCTTATTTATTTATATGATTATATTTTTTTATACACTCGAAATAAAATTATACAATTAAATAATATAAACAAAGAAGAAAATTTCGACGAATAGTCTAAATAGAAGAGCAGGATTAGGTGGAATATATAAAGAAACTCACAGGCACAGGAATAATTGTCACTTTTACTAGGGGATATTGTATTTGTTTTAAGAGAAGGGTGCTTACTTTTTTGATCATTAAAATAATAATAACAAAAATTTCAGACACGCAGACGGCAGTGTAAAATTTTGGGATGCGAGCGCGGGGACTTTACAAATATTATATAAATTAAAATGTGCTAAGGGTGAGTAAACATTATTTTTCAAAACGAAGGATAACACTGATATTATATTTTTTAACTGGCAGTGTTACTAAAGAATCGATGATGTTCGATGTTTTCGATTAACAAGTTGCGGTTGTATTTTTATGAAGGAAAAAAGTCACTTTTATAATATTAATATAATATATATACCATTATTAATGGACATTTCTAAAATATATATCACAAGATTAAACATTTTTTTTATTTTGAAAATGTAAAGATTTTACGTGACCATAGGTCGGGACAATTTAAATTGGTGTGATGATTTGTCGCAGAGAGAAGACAACACTATTATAATAAATGTAAAAAAAGAAATTAATGAAATACCTGATTTGACAAGTCTCTTAAGATTTATTGCATTTTCAGTATTTGAAAGACGGGCAGGCAGCGCGGGTAGCGCGAGCAGCATGGGCGGGAATGAGGAGGACAGCCCGTTGGGCATCCAGCAGGTGGCACTCTGTGCGGAGTCCCGGCGATTATGTGTGGCACTGCCTCACGGCCATGTTCTTCTCTTCAAATTCCGTAAACAAGAACTTACCGCGCAGACGCATGTACGTCCTTAAAACATTCATAAGAATTGAAATCTTAATTGTGCTTTACCCATTTTATTTGATTTTATTTTTAGATGTATGTACATATTCTAACCTGTATTATGTCTAACGTTATGATTTTTTTTAAAGAAAATTATAGCTAGACTAACGTACTTGAATAGTTCAAATCAATGTTTAAATTGTTGGTTGCTCAGATTTTTTGGTTAGTAACTTGGTAACCAACATAAAGGTATACAACACAACTATCTCAAAAAAATATCTCTTATCAACAATATAAGGTATGACTAGGCCTTATCTTTTTCTATTTTATGTTTATTATTGTCATATTAATTTGTGAAGATATATCATTTAGATATAAATATGGTATGTCTTGCCTTAATGGATTTATAACAATATACCACTTCGTCGTCTAAATCAACATCGTACGTATTTCAGGTGTTGGAGATCCCTATAATTAGTGATGCGACAGAAGAGGAGACGTCTCCGGAGGGGGAAGGGGCCCGCGGGGCTGGAGCCCGTGACGATCACGACACACCAAGGGTACGGGTACGGTTAATCACTTTGATTGTTGTTGTATACAATTTGGATAGAAGATTTTGTTTAAAAAAGAGTGCCACATTCGTAAGCTAATTTAAGAATTCACAAATAAAATAATATAGTAGGCAAACCTACAATGTTTTTTAGACTTATATATAAGATCACATTTTCCAACAACACCAACAAGTGTCTGTAGTCATTGGTAATCAACTTAAAGACTTAAACAGCACCGGTGACTTTTCTTAGATCTTAATATAAAATATCGCTCATGCGTTTAAACTTGTAACTCACTTTTAATTATTTTACAATTTTCAAGTTTGTTTATAAATTTGCATTTGTAACATTTGTCTATGATGGCCTATGAAAAAGAATTACAAAAATGTGTGTCGGGTAAAAAATTAAATTAAAATAGTCCACATGGTATTTTTAGAATTAGTGCAATGAAGTAACAACAGATCTGCTTTCATCATTCCATAGTCATTTAGGTACTACACGCATTACTGTTTATCACCGAGCCGTACTTACTACTAATAATAATAATAAATCGGTATCACATAACTGATAAACTGTATTTATTATTGTATTCCTATTAATTATTGGACAATCAAATGTCTATAAATAACTCAGATGTTTCCCACGCATATTTAATTGATACCTTCCTAAGAACATATGTAGAACTGATTGTATTACGTGCAGTCGGCCTGGGGCAGCGTCCGCGTGCGTGGTGCATCAGGCACGGGCGGGTCAAGACGTGCGGCTGGGTTCCAGGCCACCCTCGTGGCCTTGCAGCAGGGCCCACCTAACCCAGTCGCTGCACTCACAATCAACTCCTCCTACGGACTGTAAGTATGCAGGCTAATTCTTTAAAAATAATTATTTACACTCCTTATACAAAAATATAAAAAAGCGACTAAGAGGCAACGGGCGGCCTTATCGCTAACAAGCGCGATTTCTTCCAGGCAACTCTAATATAAAACAATAAAAAAGAAACACCTACAGAGGGTAAAAAATAATTAACAAAAACTACCTATAACTAAAATAAGTAAAAAGGGAAAAAAAAAAAAACTCAAAAAATAATAAATAAACAATAATAATTATATATAAACAAAAATGTAAAAGCTAATCCACGGGTTAATTGAGTCACAATTAATATATAAAAGTAGTTGTAGTTAATTACGAGGCAGAAGAAAAATGATCAAAAATAATATTTTTAAATAAATATCATAATAATATGTCATGGTAACTTGTATGTCCTTCTAACTTAAAGTCTTTTTAGAGTAATATGCATGGTTTGCTATTTTGAAGGCATCAGTCCATCCAGCGGTGGTCTTAAAAACCCACAACACCTTATAAAAAAGCTATTTATTGTCACTGGGTAAACTTTACTTTCTAAAAAGTGGCAAAAATATATTTTTCTTTTTATTTATATAATCTTATTATTTATAGTAGTTTCATTCCAATTTTGCCTCATTCTAGAGAAAAGCAATTACGCTGGGTTTCAGAATAGCTTGGGGCGGCGAGCGAGGCGTGGTGGTAGTGGACATGTGGCGCCGCGCAGTGGTAGCAGCGTTGCCTGCACACAGCCTGTACTTGCCCGAACCCAGCCTACGACCCGACAGGCAAGACCGACACGACCGCCGCTCGCCCGACCTCGACCAGGTAACTCACACTGAACCCAGAACCAAACGATTTGAACTTGCCGACCAACGATGATAACGTCAATACATTACGTTTGTTAGGACTCACTGAATATACATTAGATAATGCAGCGATTAAAGTTGAAATACCATTTTTGTATATAAAACTCTTCTCATTATTTTTGAAATGTCATGTCATATGAAGTTCTATGCTTATTGATTGTAAAAAAACTCTCGAACGATGTGAAAATTAGGTGAACATGCTTAAATATTCAATAATGATTTTAAGATAAAGAAATGTACATATTTATTCATCTATATTGGCCGTTTAAGTATTCAATTGGGATACAAAAAAGCAACAATTCATTATTGGTTAAGGGTTGGGGTTGCAAAGTATTGCATTAATTAAAATATTTATATTATCTCAGAAAATTATTTTAAAAAATTAAAAAGTAACGACATTTTCATATTTTATTTAATTTGCGATTTAATTTTATTACATTTCTGTTGCAAGTACCAGTGAATTAAGAAAATTCTCTCTGGTTCGCTATCAAACACGACTTAAATAATTTGGATAAATGTGTAGTGCTGATGAGGGTATCTGCTTGTCCAAGTAGAAGAGAGCATGGCATTTAGAACTTCGTTATTAGCTTCACCCACCTCTACCACGCACCATTGTAGCCGCACCGGCTAAATACAACCTATAACAACTTAACGATTAATCACTTTGTATACGACTATTATTTTAGCTCTGTTTCTGTACAAGTAGTTAACGCTGTTCGCTAACGATCATTCCTTAAATAAACATTTATTATCGTCATATATTTTTTGCACATATTTCATAAAGGAATGATCGTTATCCGTCTGTGTGGTGTAGTCTGGAGCAACGCAACCGCACACGTAATATTAATTGTGCGGCAACAACCAAATGATGTGTTCCCTCTCCCTGAAGCTGGAAGAGGCGCCGGCCAGCCCGGAGCCAGACGAGGAGACTCTGCCCGAACCCAAACTCGACGCCAGGCGAAAATCCACGCCCTGGAAAACATTTAATCTCAAGAGACAGCTTTCTAAAGTCGATCTTAAGCTTAAAGCTGCATTCGCCCCCGTCGACAGCGATGAAACCACCGAAAAGAGTAACTCGCAGTTTTATACTGAACCTCCGGAGAAAGCAGAGAGTGCTCAAGAAAGTAATGATTCGCCGGATGAAGAATCCAATGAAAAACTGTCAGAGGAAGATAAAAGTCAATTACCGTCCCCGCTGCGCGTTTGTTCAGATGTATTCGAGAGAATGCACCGAGAGTTACAAGAAAAAAGGTCGTCCGACGTCTACGACAGAATGCATAAAGAGTTACAAGAACGATGGCAAGATAAAGATCGGCTCGAGTCTTCCCCTGATGTGTCTCCGTCGAAATTGGGAGACGACGATAAAGCTGTCCGACCAGATAACCTTCCGTTATTCGATGACGAGGGAAAACCTACGCGACCGCCTCGACAAAAAAGTAAAAAGAAAGATGATAGAGATCATAGAGAGCAAAGATTGTTGTCAGTGCCGAACATAAAATATAACAGGCAAGAATCGGTGAAAGACCTGCGAAAGAGACAAGCGAGCCAGCCGGCGCAGTCGTTCGCGGGAAACCTCATGCGACGCTTCAGTAAGTAACTCGGCACTGCTCACTCACTCACGTCACGGGGTCGGTAGCACTCACGCCATCATGTGCCTTATTATACAGTAGTCTTATGAATGGTAATGGTTTTGTTTACTACTAACGTAGATTAATATATAGAATTTTAACTCTTAGGCCAGCGTAGTTAGCTTCTGCGATAACAAGTTATTGTAAATAAAACAAACTAAACGCCATTTTTAAAATACCTACATTAAATCAGTTTCTAGTATTAAAACACTAAATAATAATTGAAGTTTTGCTTTCCGCTTCTTGTGATTTTTGCGTGTGCTTTTTAATTTTATGTACATTTTATATAATTTAATATAATTGATTATCTTATATTTAGTAGAACTCAATTTTATGTTAAATATGTATAGTATGTATATGCATATATCTAATTATTTGATAATTATTAGTTATAACTTCACCCGTCCGACTCCGCTAGGTAAATGATGTGTGTTTTCTTTCTCAAGGACAAGGACTCATCCGACGAAGACACTAACTGCCTTAGATATCTATTCGCAGATCTTTTCGGTAAATTGAAGTAGTTTAATTACAACATAAATATGTATAGCATAGAGAGTAGGTTTTTACTGTAATCGCTGTTTATTTAAAACGTGAGTAAGCTAAGTAGCGAACCGTAGCCGCACACCGGTAGCCGCTCGTACACGCGACGAGGCACCGACCGACCGGGCCTCTCGCCTCACTATCGAACCTCCTCTGATCAATGTGATTTCTTCAGGAGACTTTGTAGCGAGCCTCTGCACGAGAAACCAACAGATCAGTGGCGAAACTAGCGAAGAAATCGTACAAGTGCCCAACAGAATAGGTATGCATCTAAGAATCCGTAACACTAACGGGGGAAGCTGAATCTTCGTCCATACCACACTAATCCAATAATCTGTACTGTCAATCTGTGGCACCGCGTCCGGGGTCAATGTTTGTCCCGTAACCATTAACACGTCGGTCTGTGTCGGTCTCTCGGTCCCGTCATCCGGAGGGGCAGTGGGGCGCCGGGCGGTGAGCCTGGTATGTGTGTTGTAGATGAACGGGCCGGGCGGCGGCGGGGGCGGCGGGGCTTCGGCGGGCGGCGGGGGCGGAGCGGCGTGTCCGACGCGAGTGAGGCGCTCGCGGTCCCAAGGTACCCGCAAACTGCACAAGTGCCTCTCCACCGCGTCCGACGTGTACGCCGCGCCCCCCGCCCCGCAGCACTCTCTGCTCACCACGCGACAGTATTGCAGTTTTGGTAGTACAGTCACCTTATAAGACCGCTCTCGTCTTTCCGTTCTGAAGCAGTCGCAATTTCCTCTTCTTACTTTGTTTTAGTACCCTATTTTTGGTTGAACGCGTCGCTCGATTGATCCGTCGCCTCCGGTCGAATGCGGAATGATACTTTTCGGCCTGAAGACTGCTAACTTTATGAGTTGCGTACGAGTATGTCGCTTCATTAACACCCGAACGACTAATACCATCGATGTTCCTCGACGTGCTACCGTTTTGTCATCAAACGAGCTCGCTTTTCTGTTTGTTTATCTCTGTTATACATTATTTTTTGTTATTTCTGTCTACACTAACTCAACTTATCTACTTGTTTCATTACTAATACTTGTAACATAGTCATAGAAGTTGTTAATCTGAAGGTTTTTCTGTTCTAGTAAATATTACCTTCAGCTTTATAACTTTAACATCGATAGTCTTAAAACATTACAGTATCATAATTAAGGATAAAATAAAAATAAGAAATGGTCAGGAACCGTAAAAATTGATAAGCAGCTTTATACTCACACGACATGCATGCGTCGAGCTCGTAATTTACATTTTTTGTTTCAACTTTCAGATCGGAATCATGTAATAGGTAAAAAATCATAAAGTTCGTCATAACTATATATACCCGTTAGTTGTCATTCCAAGTAGTAGTCTGTGGTGCTGTTGCCGTGTGTTGTGGCCAGCTGGCGTGCGGCGAGCCCTTCCACCTTTAGGTGCTGGGCGGCGGCTCCCCGCGCCCAGCTGTGGGCAGTGGCCGTGCTTGTAACACTTATTTTGGTTTTTGTCGATACAGAACCAACTATTCCGCAGTCTGTCGCATCCATGGAGTACTTACAAATAATGCAACCGAATGGTATCCGAACACGCATCTGTATTAATACATTTTTGTTATTTTTATTCCATTTTTATTTAATTTTTTGGCACAGTAGGTGGTCGTTATTTTCCTTAGATTCGAAATTGTGGCTGTGTTTTAGCGATGTCTCCTACACTGCACTCGAATTGCACACTATAAAACTGCGGCATGTGTTAGAAAATAAACTAAAAGGTGACTTACTACTAAAAACTATCCTCTTTATATTCTATCACTCGCTCTGTGTACAACTGCCGAAAGAATCTCTTACTTATAAGTTTACTTAACTGTGTGTTGTGCATTTTTGAAGAGGCTTTCCATAATATTAAAGACACGAAAGCATTACTTTAATTCTTTTGCCTTCTCTCTGTGTTAATTTACTTGTTCCAAATAATTTATCATAAGCGGTCATTTTTACTTTTATTTTGCTCTTTCAATATTTTATATGAGTAATTAATTATTATATTTGTACTTTGTCTAAGTTTCTAAGGTGGTTGCTTCAAAATATGATCGCAATGAGTATTTTTCGCAATAATTTTATATTAATAGTCTTTGATTAAGTGTATGTTATTTGTTTTTTTTTTCTAGCTCGACCACAAAGCAAAAACTTTATATGGCTCGTTTTTGGCTGCCTCTATATTCGACTGTCGTTTTGTCTATGTATGCTTATGGTATTCTCTTATATGAGCACTAGACGCATGCCGCACTAACAGTTGCACGAATTGAGTAAAGGGCTTTACATATTTTTTTTGTCAGTTGTGAATATATGTTTTCTTTGCACTTGTTTGTCCGTCCACAAACGTGCTTCTTAATGGAGTACAACTAGAGAATGATGAAATTATATAAACTGCAGGTCGGTGTTTAATGTGTATAGCGCATACTCATAACTAAAGTGATGCTTATGTAGCTGTCGCTGGGCGCTGGAGCTTGGGCCTCCGACCACATTCATATTCATATTCATAGCAATACCATGTTATGTTGCTCTTAATAAGAATTATTCATGTTTTCTTATGCTGTTTTCGCTATAATCATTACATCCTTGTAGTATCTCTATGTTAGTTGAAACCATTTTGTAATCGGAATGCGATTTACTTTCCTCACATCAGGTAGATAAATCTATACTAAATATAAAAACCTGAACTCGTGAACGTTGTGCAAATAAGCTGAGATTGGACGGGCATGCAATCAAAGTACTCTCATAGCATGTTTCCTTTGTGCGTGATGTTTTTACACCCGACATACCTCTAGCACCCGACGGTGCCTTCAGCTAATTTCACAACTGCACTGAAGTACCAAATCTCATAAATTGTAGTTTTATTTGGTCCGTCGATGACAGTCTTGATCACGCTAAATCTTTAAATTCTTTTTGTATAAGTTTTTATTGTTGTAAAAGTAATAATGATCTTCTGTCACCGACTAAGCTAAGAACTCTTGACCATGAGAATGGTGATGGGTTTTTGGCTGAAGGTGATGTGAGACAAAAGGTTTTATGTGTATTTTGTGTATACGGGTCGCGTAGATAAACTGGACAGTTCGTTTTCGCGGTCTCGCTCCAGCAGCATGTCCAGCCTCGAAAACATCTCGCAAGAAGGCATACAGTGTCTAGCTTTTGCCGACAGTTACATCAAAAAGTCAGGTAATTATCTGGTCACCATACCTTTAGTATTTTCCTATTTTCTCTGTCAATTTTTGTATATTTTTGAAATTATACTTCTTTTGGCGCGTTAGGGAAAAACCATGAGAGTATGTTTTTAAGATCCGCGTGCACACCGTCACAAAAAGCCGACAACCTCAAGTTAGCATAGTCAACATTTTAAAATAAAAAATGTCGATTTCTTTAATTATGTAGAAATATTTTTTTTATGATATTTAAGTAATAAACTTAATTTAACTAGATAATGCGTTGTACGTTAAATAAACTTAATTTAACTAGATAATGCGTTATAATAAAACTTTTAATACTATATACCATTAAATACCTTTTTTCTATTGTTAGTGTCGTCTTTTTTTTCGTTTAAGGCGAAAGATAAAAATTTTAAAAAAGATTTTTATTTTGTTACGTCAAAGAAGTATAACTTCTAACGCGTGTAGATAAGTACACACCCTTTTTTTTTAGATCCTACTTTGTCAGTTCCGACGCTGTGGATAGGAACGACACTGGGATCGGTGATTACCATGACGATTAATCTACCCGAGGCTGATCTGAGGCATACACAGCCCGTCATCGTATCGACAAGTGGTAAATTGCCTATTAAACTGTTTATTTTTATGTTACATCACTATAAACCTATCATCGTTATACGTTACAGGTGGTCCAATTTTTAGGCTAAAAGGGTCAATATTAACAATGTCTTTTCTCGACTGTAATGGTGCTTTAATCCCATATTCATACGAAAGCTGGAAGGACGATAATAAAGATGTAAGTTTTTCTTAAAACGTTTTCTGTTGCAATACAAATGAGAAGCATGTACCTAATGGCGAATTGTACTTTTAGAGTCGTGAACGTCGTGAGAGGACCCCGACGAAGCAGAGCTCGTCCGGCAGCGGGCACGGCAGCCATACCAGCCCGATTCCGCAGGAGGCAGCTGACCGACAGTTTGTGGTGGTGGCGTCAGAAAAGCAAGCGCGTGTGGTGGCGTTGCCCAGCCAGAACTGTGTCTATCGCCAACAGATCGTCGAATCCGACTTTGTTGTCAAGGCAGAGATTGTCAGCTTAAAAGGTCATTGATCGCGACTTTTAAAATATGGATGTTATATATCAGTATATTATATGTTATATGTACTTACAAAAAGCGGTGGGTGTTACAGATAGCGTGTGCCTTGTATGCTATCTATCGACGGGTCACCTTGTAGCCTACAGTCTGCCTTCGTTGAGGCCGCTCCTACACGTTGACTTTTTGCCGCTTTCAGAACTCAGGTGAGACCACGGCAAAGCATTCCTTTTTTAAATGATTTATTCTTTTTATTCTATTCACTTTTTATGTTGACGAAAATTGTTTTTGCCTCTTGAAATTTTTTTTGGCCTTTAGACAAGTATAAAAGACAATTTTCTTCAACCTAATTTATAGAATTAATTACGTTTAACATACTACGCGGCGCGGCCAATCCGAGTGTATCGGTATGCGGTGTCAAATGACAATGGCCAGCTTTGTTATGTATATTATTTCTGTGTAAGAAAAATAATATAAAATAAACAGAATAATATAAGATAATTGAAGAAAGTGACGAGTACGTCAGCGGCACTTATCATTTGGAGCCGCCCGACCGCTCCCGGGCACCTCGATGTTAGCTCAGCTTGGTGCGGGACCGGTCTCGCGACTAACATTTTTAATAATCTTCACTCACCTCGTTATCACTCGATCCCACCGGTTCTCTGCCAAGCGACAACTTAGACGACCGTAAGGTGCTAGTGGCTGTCGACTTTTTATCACAAACGTAGTCAAAATTTTGCAATCTGTCGAGCACCTCCTGTGCTTTCGAAATTTGGCACACTTTACGTTTTTATTTGAGTTTCGCCGGACGAACCGAACACGACTCTACCCAGTACATGCCCGTCCGAATGACTGTATGACGGAATGACCGTACACGTTGCATGGTGCCCTGCACTCGGTGCCGTGACCCTCGCCACTCACCTGGGGCGGGCGCGCGCTGCTCTCTGGCAGCAGGGAGCAGTGCGCGACGCCCCGTACTGACCATGCCTGTGTTCCTGGTAGCTTCCAGACACAGTCCAAACAGAGGGGTATCGTAGACCCTATGCTCTCCATTTGGGGCCAACAACTCATTGTAAACGAGGACACGGACCAGTAAGTCTCCGTCCATAGCGGAATTGCGTTTCTCATGTACCCGCCGCCATCACTGTGGAGTCGCTCACCGCGACCTCGCCTCCTTTGTTATAGACATGTTAGTGTTTCATGTTACCTCCCCCCTCACTCCACCCTCCACCCGCAGAGCTTTGAGACTCCCCCGCTACCTCCCCGGGGACATGGGCGATAGATACTCGAGATGGTTGTATTTAAAGCTTTTTGATAACTCTAAATATATGAAACGTTATACTTCAATAACAAAAATAAATTACAGCAATAAGAAATTTACCTCGTGGCTTGTCTCGCTCTAGTCCCGCCATTTGTCTCCATCCAGGAACAGACAGTACACACTCACACTCGTATACACTCTACTCTGTGACACTGTACCCGATCACCAGTCTTTTCTTACATCCTCTTCTCCTTGTCTCACTTTTCTTTGTCTTGAGCATGGTAGCTGGTGCATGAACTTTGTATTTTCTTTATCTATATCTTATTTGACTATGCAGTGTCGATTCATGTTGGCTTCTTAGTTTGTATAGAGATAATGTAATTTTTTTCATTAGTACCGAATCATGGAGACGTAAAAGGTGAGATAATTTAATTTTATATACATAACTATTATGTTTAAAGTATTATAAAAATATATATAGTAATAAAGAAAAATATTAAAGTTATATTTAGAGAAAAATGGGTATAATCACTTAATTCGTTGAATGTCCTATACCTATATGTTATAATTTTGAGAACTTAATATCATTCTAAACTAAATAGATTTAAACTATATGAAAAAAATTATTATAGAAAATATTACAGTGAGTTAGTATACGTAATAGAGTGTTGTGTTCCAGGATAGCGAAGACGTTCTGCTTTAGCAACCGCGGGCATGGACTCTACCTGGCTTCGCCCACTGAAATACAGAAGTTTACTATTGACACGGAGTTTTGGTAAGCGTAACATTCGTTGATTTATGACACCGTAATAACGTGTGGATATAAATTAATATTTTTCTTTTAAACACATCTTTTATTTATTTCTCCGTCTCTGTTGGTTTTTAGTTTTTGTGTCAAAGATAATACTGTAAACAATGAAAGAACAACCGACCGAACTATGATAAGATGATCTTTAATTTCTTGTGAAATTAACTCGATAATAAATGTAACGGTTTCAGCCAACAATTAACCGAAATGATGGGAGAGTTATTCCTGCCGCGCGACATGCCGGAACCTCCTAAAGAGAGCTTCTTCCGAGGACTTTTTGGTGGTGGAATTCGGCCACTCGACCGAGAGGAGTTGTGTACGTATTACATATTTTTACTTGTTAAACGAACGGAAATAATATCTCGTAATGTTATGACAGCGAGTAGAGTAACCAGTGCTGAGTTTTTGTCGCTTCGCGAGTATTATACGGCTCAAAAACTACGCACGAAGGACAAAGAGCAACTGTTCAACCTCTAAACTGTACTTGTCGTTGTAATTTAAAGACTTTTATTATTAAAATAAACTAATGATTCTCTATCAAGCACCTTGCGTAGTGAGAGATTATAGCACGTTTGGGAGGTTTCAGTCGGCGAGAGCAGCGGCAAGCCCAACCGCACCGTGGCTAAGCACATCCCCGGCTGCGAGGGTGTGGCGGCTCGGGCATCGGCAGCGACAGGGGAGATAGCGCGGGCGCATCAGCTCGTGGTGGAGCGAGGTGACAAGTTGTCTCAGCTGGAGGACAAGGCCGAGCGCATGAACACGGAGGCCGCGGCCTTCTCGTCGTCGGCGCACCAGCTCATGCTCAAGTACAAGGATAAGAAGTGGTACCAGCTGTGAGCCCCCGGCCCCCGTCGTCCCCCGTCGCGTAGAGCTTAGCGTCCCCGTAGCGCGTCGTAGCGGTAGTCTGTAGAAACACGAACGCACAAAAATTTTTCGCTCTCTCCGTCTCCCGTTCGTCGTTAGAGCACGTAGCTCCGATTCCTTCACTCGCGTCCTCGTCGTCGATCGGCGATCTCCTTCCCTCGTCCACTGTACATACCGATCGCATTTCGCGACGTGATATTGTAAATACGAGTCATACACGATATTGTAAACTTTTGTACGATTCCGTAGAGTATAGAGAGAACGTCTCTCCGGGCCTCCGTTACGTCGGAGATGTTAGCGTGTAACGTGTTAAAGTATTGCATAAACGTGAGATTATTTAATGTTGCGACTATTAATATTATCGATCTAGAGTATGAATAGATATAATTTTTTATAGATACGGCCGGTCGCCGATACGTCGTCGGCGACTTTAATAGCGATGGCCGTCGTCGGTCTGTATAAAATAATAAATTATAAAATTAAATTATTGAAATACGGATAAATGATTGAAGATGTAAGCATCGGATGACAATAATTGTGTTACATTCCTTGTTGAGATTGAGTTGGCGTTGCCGCACTCGGCACTCGTGTCTCGTTTAGTTATTTTTGAAAGCGCACTTTTCTATATATTTTCATAAAGGGTATGTTCTTTCGACGCTTGTATATAAAAGTATGCCTTATAAAATATATCTTGAAGTTAATTAGTTAGTATTTTTATAAAGCGCACGTTAGTGATTCGGTAACCAAATACGCTTATGAGCGGTAGCAATACTTTGTACTGCGGAGGGCAGAGGGCAGCCATCGGCCGGACCAATCGGTGTCGTGTTGGTGTCGCTAGTTATTTTAGTCTTAATGTAAACCCTAGCCTTGAACTTTCTCTTGACGAGTGACGCTAACGTGTTCGCTCGTTAGTCCCGAGGGGCGTTCAGCCGCCGCTTTCCTTGATTTCCGTGTTTCGTTACTCGTCCTCAGCTGTGTATAAATGTTTGATGCCAAAGTTTACTATTTTGTATATAAGAGTTTTTATTGTTATAATATTTGTAACGTAACATTTTATTTAGTGGATTATATTGTAGACGAATTAGTTCCGCATCCGACGCTAGAGTTACTGATTACGACGTGGAATTATATGAATATGATTGATGATAATGTTCCGAATGATATAATAATAAATTAGATGTCAGAATTTATTTTGTTACAATTGCACTTATATTTAGCTGTGTATCTGTCGGTTCCGGGTTTATTTGAAGAGTCAATATTTTCGTATCATAAATATTTTATGAAGACTTATTATATACTAAGTAGCTGAATTTTATATAATTGCGTTGATGGTGCGATTAACCGCTCCTTTGTTTGAAATACCTCCCGATCTTTAATGTTACTGCAATGGTACGAAATGTAAAGATAGTGGCTCCGTTGTTACACACAAATGAAATGCTCATTACTTTTATAATTCTGTTCGAATGAGTTTGAAACCACGAAACAACATTTTATAATTAGTATAATCCAACATTTATTTCAAGCCTAGCTGCTACAGAATAAAAACATCGCAAATTAATGTGATTAAAAAGGTCGTCTCCAATATAAGGTTATACCAGCAAGTAACAAAGCAATTCTAAAACCCTCCATGCTCGTAATAAGTTTTGTTATTTGAAACAATGTGTTTGTATACACATTCATTCAATGAATATTGTAGATACTGTATGGTTTCACTTGTTTTCATTATTGTTAATGCGGCTTGAATTATCATATCTGGAGTTTACATCACTGAATGAGGTTTTTGACTACTAAATAAAGTATTGAACGAAGGAAATGAATGTGTATATTACCCTAAGTCGAGATTTTAAAGTTCTAAGTAACGAGGCGACCAAATAATATCACAACAAATTTGCTTTAACTTCTCTCTTATAATGGCAGAAACGTATATATCCCTTACTTAATCAATACTGATTGATCGGGAGTTGAGTGACAATTTACTCCCCTTACAAAAACCCAGCGCTAATGTCGTAAACTTAGGATGAAAATTTATTTATTTGTATCACAACTTGAAATCAGATATTTAGTTACTAATTTAAATCAGATAATTAAATGAACGCAAATGTTGGGACTAAATTAGGTAAAATAAGAATTGTAAATAAACAAGATTGTGGCAAATTATTTCTTGTTACTTGAACTAATTTGTTTAAACTTTGTGTTAACAGTCACTCCTTAAATACTTGATATCATGACTATACATATTGTACATAATTTATGCTGTTGAATTATTTAGTTTAGTAGATGATTATAATAGTCATTATATTATAAATAAAATGAGAATAAAACTATATCAAACTATTTTAATTGTTTTATTTTTCTTCGCACGCACACCTGTGTTGTTAAAACTATCGATGCAATTTAAAAATTATTCCTCGAAATCTGAAAAATAATCCTCAAAATTTGCATTAAAAGCCATGTCGACTAATTCGAATTTGATTTTCTTTTATTCTTTGATTCTCCCTCCGCCCATTTTCTTAAATTAAAAAATTCGGCCATGATCATTTAACTCTATTCATACTGGTCATTTCCATCGTTGCATTGTCAGGTCGATTCACTTTGGGTTCGCTGTGCCACCGAAGTATGTAACTATAATTTAACTTTAGTTCTTCGCGGTAAATTCAATCTGCGTATCGTGAATCCGAGGAATTACACCATTATATTGATGCTAAGTTACATTAAAACTTCATCATTCATTTTAGTTAAAATTAAACCCGTATTTATTTTGATAAGGTCTAATATCATGTTTACAAACATCAGTTCAATATTGAAGAATAAAATCTATTTGGACAATAAAAAGTGAGTTAAACAATGATGCATCTATAAACGCAGCGCAAGTAAAAAAAGTTATCAAGGTAAAAAAATACTTATCGTTACTGCTTCGCTCCTATAAGTGGTTACGTTATACTCTATAGGAAAACCTTCCTCGTTAAATGGCCTGTCCGAAACCAAAAGCATTTCAATTCGAAACAGTAGTTCCTAAGATTGGTTTAAATAACCTATTTATTAGCTGAATCCGCTGAATTGGCATTCGAAAATACGTAGGTATAAGCTGAAAGAATTTTTTTAATAGGAACTTAAAAAAAACACGTGTTCTCAAACATTACATATATTTGCTGCTTTCGTTTATCTTACATTGCTTACCATTATAATTAAGTGAGTAGTTGGACAAACAAGTTCCGTTGGGTAATAGCTGGTTCATAATCCGCTTGACCTCGGCAAGACTATATGAGCGCCATAATGAAAAAAATAGACAGATTTTAAAAGGAACTGATTAATTTAAGACCCAAAATTACCAATTCGTGTAACCTACAAATGTTAAAAGAATTTCAATAGTATAAATAGTCTACCTCCGCAATACAAACAATTAAAAGCAATTTTAGTAGTACTAGTTTTGCGTGATATATGGATTCATCACCTGAGATACGGATTTTCTTCAAATAGGCTTTCTTCATGGTCGTTGTGCAAATACAACGGGAGGTTTTTTTTATTAAGCTAAAGTTATTATTCTAATAATGTATATTAATGTACAAACATACGTACAGCGCTCATATTATACCTTAAAATTAGCACCTTTCGCTGGACGTCGCGTGCGTGAAGAGGCGTCTCTATACAATGAAATACAAATAATACAATTTAACTTCATTTACTTTATTTTAGAAGGCGACTGACGCAGCGACGCCCGTCTAATCACATTCAACTTCATTCACTATTCCCTTAAACAAGTGTAAGTATCGAGTAACTAGTGCGAGTTAACGAGACAAACCTGTGGGATTTAGTTACAATAACTGAAAGGGCGACATTACCTACGCAATACTGAGGGTTTGAAATCGTTAACATGCACTAGGCATCGGCACGTGTGGCCCGTAAATCACAAAATTGTATAAAGGTCACTTAAACCAACAAAAATCTTAATATACATAGCAAGGCTCGGTTTGGAACTAGATACAGTAGCGATATGCATCGGATCTCAAATACACCTTAACTACCTTCGTACTGCTAAAACCGAATTTTCGGTGGATATTGACTTCTACGAATATATACTTAATACATTTCAAACGGACTTAACTATATGAAAAACAAGTCTATCTTACACTTTACGATCATAAAATACCACAGATAAAACATTGTTCGGAACAAGCGTCAGACTGTTTGGCAATGTACAAAAGGCTAACGAGCTGTTGCAACTATAATAATTTTCAAACGATAAAACAATTTCATATTGCACATTCGTTTAAGTTTTTTCAATATATCACGGCACAAAGGGTGTGCTACACCGATACGCAGATATGTAGGAGCGATAACGACAATTAAACTTTACATTTGATATCATAAGCTCAACAATGGGCGTAACAAAATTACCTATAACATTAACAACACAGATGTACCGTGAACTGTTTGTACCTAAATAGGTACAAAATATATTTTAGACAAAGTCGAAGCGACGCCACAGCACAATTCCCTAAATGAATACTATTTAAGAATCAAAAACTTGATCAGGATTACTCTGTAAAACCAATACGATATCTTGACATAAAAATTGTCTGAAATTGGACCTCTTTTACGAAATACAATAATTAGTAGACCTTTCATCGACGCACTGATTCATCTTGGAACTACGTGGGACCAATACAGAATAGAATCGCATCGTTTTTCAAATTACAGAGTAAGCCAGCAGGTCCAACAATTAAACACAAAAACACAAACAGTTCTACAGAAACGATGGTACCAGGGGTTCAAACTGTGCAACGAAACGACGAATCGTAAGCCCTGTCTCTGATTGGACTAGTTCGTTTTCGTTTTAGTATCTAATCCCTATTATATATTTAACAGACCTTAACATATTTTTAAATATATGCTAAAGCGATGATCAATTTGGTTTAGGAGAAAGGAAGGCCGAGTTAGGGAGCAAAGTAAAGGACGTGGCATCGATATGTACCTAAACGATATACACAGCGAGATAGGAGCGCCTCAGGAAGCAATCGACTACATAAGGTACAATGTTAAGGCTACGCGTTACACTATTTACGCTATCGTACAAATTGAACACGTATCGACTACTGGCTGGCAGCCGAATTAAAGTTGCCTTTTATCACCGTCACTTGAAACGTTTCGGTCACGAGCACCGTTCCTTCGAATACTTCCATTCAAAGCGGGTTACAGTTATTCATTTCGACTATAGTTATCTTCCGAACGGACCGCTTCAACTCGAACAGCTAAACTAATGTCTTACAAAACTTGAGCAATTGAATTCCTTAATGAAGCGCACCACCGACGCTGGTAACCGAGACGTGACCACCGACCATCACTTACAATTTTATAAAGGAGGCATTGTTACGCATGTAAAACCCATATCGACAAGTACAGGTATTACTATACAATAATACTGAGCTCTGCTGTATCTGAAGGCAGGTTGTGGCCGTGAGCGCCGAACAATTGTGTCCTCGCTTTCACTTACTGAGTATGTTATCTCCCACGATCAAATAACCCTAATATAATTCATCAAAATCTAAGCCTAAGGCCGAACAATTTGCATAAATAGGTAATACCGACTTAGATATCAGGATAAGTGGATATTGGAAACTCCATATTACGCATTAAATCAAAATATAAAACGGCGCTCACAGCCCATTCGCCATTATTCGTAATGTAAATTTGTATATAATAAAATGGTCCAATAAGTTCCTCAAAAATCTTTAAAATTTTGCACTGTTTTTTACACTGAGGTATCATGAATATCTCGCATCACATGGGTGACATTACGATGAAGATCAAATCGAAATTAAGAGATCAAATATTTCATTTAATTAGTAAATAAAACAACTTCACTCGACGTCTCAACTTTCGGAAGAACTAATGAATAATAAAATAATAAACAAGCAATATTTATACGTGACCTCGTGTCGAGTGTCGCTATCCTTGGGTAAATTGACTTAACTCCATAAGCGAATGTCGCTTAACCGATATTTACAAGCCGCAAGCACCACAACCCTTTAAATCTTCGAAACCGTCTTTGAACACGTTTTTGAAACAGTTGAATGAAATTGAGTTTTGACAGCCTTTAATGGACAGAGCTACGGGGTCGAGAGGAAGGTAAGAGACGGGCGCGAGGCTTCTTGTGACGGGATTTGCGGCGGAATCACCTCTCGGTCGCAGTGAGGTCAGGGCTGTCGACCGTGCTAGATTCCTTGGAATCGTCCACCTCACTCACTATTTTGGTCTCAGAATTGTTCGTCCCAGATACTTCGGTGACAAGATTTGCGACTTCATCTGACAATTTGGCGTTTGATTTGCCGATTTCATTTATAATTTGGGTGTCAGTTTTGCCGACTTCATTTATAATTTCTGTGTCAGATTTCCCAACACTTGACACGTTAGGGTTGACCTCACTGGATACCTTGTCATCATTTTCAAGGTCATTAAACGTAGAATTGCTGACGGGTTTTTCAACACTAGTTATATGAGACGTTACTTCCTCAGTAAATAAAGCATTGGTATCAGGATTGTTGGAGTTCGAGGTTGCGTCAGAATTTCCGAGGGTAGGTTGAACCTCAGTTTTTGGGTCGGTGGTGCTTTCGACGTTGGTGATTATGGTTTGAATGTCTGATATCGGAGGGTCTGTGGGGGGTAAGGCAGGGGGCAGCTGCGACGCGGTGTCAGCGAGCTCGGCTAGGTGATGAGGGGCGAGGCCACTGAGAGCAGACAGTAAGTTGTGAGTGAGTTCAGCGGTACCGTCCAGCTGCAGCTGATTCAGCTCAGCTTGCAGTTCAGTCATATTGCAATTCTCCTCGCCGCTTTCTGCAACTGATCACATAGCACTTCGTTTGAAAAACAGAATTATAGAACTTCTACTAAATTTAAATAAATTTCCATATTGTTTCCCACAAAAACTATGACTGTTTAGCGATGTAAAAAGCACAGGCAGCATTACCAAACTAATGTTTTACGATAGAGATAAGTGATTTGTTAACAAGGTATATAATAAAAAAAGATTTAGTTTAACTTGTATGTTTAAAAAAAATATCTTAATTTATTTTATCTTCTTCATATACAACAACTGGTCCTGATTGGAGTATAACAGAGCCCAAGCCACAGATATAATGAAATAATTTAAATTTTATAGTAATATAAATCCAAACTTGAAGTGAAGCTGCGATCTGCAACTAGATTTGTATATCACTGACTCACCATTCTGGTTCCATGGATGGGACTCTTGTGGGGCAAAGGGATCAACGGGGGGCAGACACGTATCACTTCCGAACTGGGCCCAACCCTCGTCTTCAGGGAGGGGCAGAGGGAGGGAAGCTCCTTCCTCACCCTCATTCTTCTCCTCTTCATCTCCCCATCCGGAACTACGCTCCCACGCTGCAATATATACCACTGACTGAGACCTCGACAACATATAAATGTTTTATTCTTGTAAATCGTCGCATTTTTACACTAAATCTGATTTGTAAAAGAAAATTTAAAATATAATCGATTTGAAACTGCACTAAAGAATACATAGAGAGATGATTATTTAATATATATTTAATTGGAATATTTTTTAGAAGAATAATAATAATAAAAGTCTTGTGTTCTAGGAGTCACACTCACCTACGAATATCACGCTAACTCCTAGAAGGGAAACCTGATACATATTTTATTGATGTATTATAAAATAAATGGTATATACTCACGCAAGTCAAGCGCCATCTGCATGCCTTCATCGAAATCCAAAACATTACTGGGGCTGTCCTCCCACAAACTATTACAAACAAATACAGTTTTAGATTTTTATACACTTAGTAAAATTAGGTTTTTCTAAGAGATGAGTCCGCTGTAGAAAATTTTACGACTCGTAGCAGTTACGAATCGTATTTTTAATATAAAAACAGGAACATAGTTCACACGAACAACACATTTGGTATAGTCTATATATAATAGTCTTATTGTGCGTATTTGGAAATGGAAGAAATGTATCATACTGAGGCCTTTAACTATGGTTTTTGGATTCGATTTCAGAAGAAACGCAATATTGAGAACAAAAGCTGACTTTCTTGATAAAAAAACGTGTGTGTACTTATGTACACGCGTTAGAAGTTATATTTGTTTGGCGTAATAATTTTCTTCGAGCACTTCAGAGGGACGTTTCCCTCTACGAATTGCATTTTTCTTGTCAATTTTAATGGTCACTTCCAATCGAAACGATATAACATATACTAATCATGATATTTTACAATAAACACTATGTTTTTTATCACATTGTAACGGGTTTTCTCGTATAGAAATTATTATTTTGGTTTAAATAAAGACGAGTCTGAAAAACATTACGCCATGACAGACAATGCAACTTGTCGATAAAACAGAGCAAGCGCCAACTAGCGGCCCAGACTGTTTTACCGACGTTTGATCAGATATTCAGGGTGTCGGTTTTTTGTGACGGTGTGCGCGTGTCGGTTTATTGTGATGGTGTGCGCGCGTATCGTAAAAAAAATTCCCTAAGGCGCCAAAAGAAGTATAACTTCAAAAATTTAATAGATTGCGCCATCTCCATGGCCGATTGGAGTGTTACGGGACATAACAGTAAATTCAGTGACGACACGCCTTGGTGCATCTGTTCTGCCTACACACTAGTATAGGGAGGTGTACTCACTCATCGCTGTAGTTGTCCGCAGATGGATACTGCGACACGCCTTCCTTGCCAGCCTCCATCTATTAAAACACGTTATTGATTCACTATAAACATTAATCAATTTAAAAAATTTACTGCTCGTTTAAGAGAGATATTTTGGGAATTTATATGGTATGGTATTATGGCAATTTACTGTACTGTGTACAGATGTAACTAACACGAGTACCACAGATAAACAAAAATAATAAACAACGCCGTAACAACTTCTAAGTCTGGGCCTCAGATTTCTGTATCTGTTTCGTAATCTTTACTTTCTAAATACGTAGACACGTAAGTGTTCAGCCTCCTGTGCCTGACACACGCCGTCGACTCTCAGGGTCTAAGGCATTCCGGTTTTCTCACGTTTCTCGAGCGAGTGTTAAATGCGCACATAGACAGTCCCTTGGTGGACAGCCGGGTATCGAACCTATGAGCTCAGGCATCACGGTTGCACGCTGAAGCCACTAAGACAACACTGCTCAACTAAAAGACTTTGCTTTAAGATTCAGTAAACGACACGTTCGCATTCTATGAAGTACTTATGGCACTTCATTCATTACCTTCTAATCCGAAAAAGTATTGATTCGCGTGGAACCCAGGTACTACGCGGTAGCAAAAGTTAACAATAGCAATTAATGTAATAATAAAATAATTTATTGGCAACAAACAGTCAGTATATAGCGTTGCATTATATATACCCAGATCCATAAAATTAAGTTATAAAAATTTCAATTATTTTAGAATACCTACCATATATTTAGCATGGTAACTTAAAAATACTACATGAATACAAACAAACACATGAACACACAAATTATTCATTATTTTTACATAATTTATTACGTTATTCAATTGCGTTTTAAGTTTGCAGACTGTTGACGAATTGGCGTATATTGTTATTACATGATGAAATAAACTATTATAATAACTTACCTCGTAACATGTCTCCGAAGGGTACTCGCCGCCCTGAAAGTGTTATATATGCTTTAAATATATGAAACTTTAAATAGATATTAATAGTTTACTACAGATTACTTATAGTCTCTGCCACATAGAGGTATGTAGTAAGTGCAGACATGATACGGTCCTTACAAACATCTCTATGGGTGGTTTTGACTTGCCTTTTTCCAACGTATTTTGTAAAATGTTTATTTTATACTCCTAATTACCCCATATACTTACGAGTGGTGCGTCGAGGCGTGTCAGCAGCGGTTGGAGACGGTTCTGCAGAAAGGCATCCCATCGTTCGCGAACTTCGGGTAACGCAAACGAGCCAACGCCCGCCGCCGCCAAAGTACGGCAGGCGACTGTCACGTGACCCATCAAGCTCGACCGACGCGTCGTCCTAATACACAATCTAAGCTAAAAAATAATATCCAACCAACAAATAACCGCCATGGCTTGGTGGTTAATGACGTACGCGGAGGAATGACCCCCGACTATTAAAAAAATATTAAATTTAATAAATAATTATATTAAAACAAATATTGCTACGGACTTGGCACGTACGCGTACTTGGTTTTTTTTGTTCATTAGTTGTGTTATATTAATGTTTTAATTAAAGTGGTTGATCCCGTATTAAAATTTGTTAAGTCATTATTGATACTAAAGACCTTTGAATTTAAAAGAAATAAACATAAACCGTCCAATCGAGTACATATTTATTATTAAAAGTTACATGGTTGACCTAGTATGTACTAAAAATCATGTATAAAATCTTAGTTAATAATGCTCTACTGCTGTCTCTAAAAATACAAGTGATTTACTTTTAAGTACTTGGGAAGATTTATGCAGTTATACATATTAAATAGCAGGCCTAAAATATTATGTTTATATACCACATACTGTAAAACAAAAGATTAAAAAAAAACTCACTTTTTATCTTCATTTTCTTCAAAAGTGTCCATTAGCCGGGTCAGCAAGTTGCCTTCTTCCACCAGCTTTTAAATTATAATAAAATTAATCACATTGTAATTAAATTTATATTTAATCAATATTAAAATAAATTCGATGAGCATCAAGACTTGTCTGTTGAAAATGAATATGTCTGTAAACAACATGGAAAATGCCGAGTAGATGTTTTTATCTAGGGGTCCCCCCATTTTGACCTAGAGAATCAATAAATGCTTCTGTTTCAATAGCAAACAAGGTTCTACAGAACAACAACTTGTTTTATCTTGTTCTAAATAAATATTATATTATTGTAATATACAAGTGTAGACAATTTTTTTTTTCAGTCTTTAAAGGAATTATTAAAATCATTGTCAGTAAAGGGCTAATTACCTGTACCCAATAGACCGGGGCTTGTGATTTGTTTTGTGATATGTTGTGCAACATCGTGCAGACCTGCGCGTGTAGGAAGTTGTTGTCGGGGAAGGCAAAGAACATGTCAAGCAGCACATCAGGCATGCCCAGTGTCCGCATGACCATGTGCACCATGGGCTCTTGAGTTCCCATGAGCTCTGCCATGAGCGCCACAACCTGGAGGCGCGCCGCTCCCACCCTACGACGCCCGCTTGGCCCTATCGCTGGCTCGCGCAATAGATCTTGCTGCAGCAACCGCAGATGCGGCGTCACATCACGCAGCTCCACGTCACACGTATCTTCCAACGGCTGGATAAGCACTCGCAGAAGACGGCAGGCGTTGAACAGCGCGGTGTCGTAGAAGTCCGGGGGACTACAGAAGCAGCCGAGAAGGAGCGCGTTAACCAAGGGCTTGGTGCGTAAGCGGGCGCTCAAGCATCGCGTCGTCCAAGAAGGTTGCCAGTCTTCCCCGGCCCACCTGCCCGCTAAGCCACACGCCAGCGCACTGGCACTGGCCGATGCCGCCACTTGCAGTCGCCGCGTGCGTTCCGTCATCCCCGCGCCTGATTCCACAATTGATACAGTTATATACTTAGTTTCTCTAAGAGTTGGCTTCATTTATTAATTTCATTAATATAATATATAGATAAAACAAAGAAAGTATATATAACTACATACTATTTTTACTAGAGTCCCCACCGCTGATGGAGTCCTTGTGACTTGCCTCTGCTTTTTCACTCTCCTCATGCACCCCTTTCTCGACATCATTTTCTGTCTTTTGTTCTATTGGCACAGGTACAGGTGTTGCCTGAATTTCATTGGGCTCATAATCACAGCAAATTATTTGTATAAGATTTTCCAAAAACTCATTTTCAACCAGCCACTGTAAATATTTAAATACATAGAGTTAATTAATCATTATTTCATTAATAATATCTTTAAAAGACAAAGATATTGTCAATCAAAGGAACAAAGTATATATTAAGCATACCTAAACTAAATTTCTTTTGAAAAGCAAGTTCAATAAATAACAATTTCCAACTATTTTACTTTTCTAAAAATAAATATATACCTTTTCAATTATTTCACTAAAAGGCTCCTCAAGATAGAATACAAAATATTTTATGGTATCCGCTATAGCAGAGGTGGCAATGTGTCTTAATAAATTAGGTAAAAAATCCTTCCGAGCCTTAAAGAAGTCCAGGGCTCGTAAACATAATATGTGGTGCAAGTAGCAGTCCTGCAAACAAATGATGTCACATGATTATATTTTTTTACAAGTAGTTTATTTAAATATATACTAATATTATAAAGAGGAAACATTTGTGTTTTTGTATGTATTTTTGTAATGTTTTCACTCAAAAACTACTGGACCTATTTTAAATTCTTTCACCATTAGAAAGCTGCATCTTCACTGACTGACATAAGCTATATTACATTTTCAAAAAATAGGGATCCCTGATCAAAGTGCAATAATATAAACCAAGGTGTTAAAAATTTATCCATAAAAAATCTGCCATTGCGTGCAATGTGGGCAAAAAAAAATGTTGTACTATAGAAAGTATAAATATCTATAAAAAGATTTTTTTATGTGGCCTATCTTGAATAGGAACTCCAAAACATGAAATTATTTTGCTGCCACAAAACAAAACTACATCAATTGTTATGTTCTACAAAAAATCTCATCTCTAATAAATATTACAGAAGAAAGTTTTTCATTTTGAATTTTTGTTTTTATTTTTAACAATTTATAGTAATCAAGCAAAAAATTCCTGGACTGGTTAAAAAAATTCTTTGATTACCTACTTGAAATCAATAATTTTTCAATACCAGTAAAGTATTTTTAAATTTATTTATGTCGGACATATCTAATAATCTGAAAGGAAGTAATTTAAAACTAAGTAAAATTAAACTTTTAAGATAACAAAAATATATCTATAGTCCGACTTAGTAGACTTTCCACTACCAGGAGATTGATATCTATGTGAGTGAAACCCAAGGCAGAGCTAGAGTCATATAATTGGCTATGAATGTACCTGCATAGGGCTTCTTTTTAGCAATGTTTCAATAGTTCTGCTAAAGTATGATGCTAGCAATGGATTGAGAGGTGGATCCCTATTCAGGAAATCACAAAGTCGATTCATCTGCTTCACATCAATGCACAGACTGGACATCAGGCCAGACAACTGGCTGGTTAGCACTTCACAGGCAATATTTGAATGTCTGTACTGTGTTGTTAATTCTAAATCCTTAGATGGCTCCTCAGTTATTAGGGCAATGAGTTCTGCTAAGATCTCTGGTCTTGTTAGACTGAAATTTTGATACATTATGTATGTAGTAATGAATATTTTCAAATATGAATTAAATTGTTACAAATATAGAAAACCCGATATTTACAATCGTATAAGATCTTTGTTGTCCGCTTTACACTCCTGAAGGATGTCGTCCGCCTCCAGAATTTGTGTTAAAGTTACATTCTGAAACCAAATAAGATACCAGTTTTAATTATAATATACGCGACGGTAGAACTTTTTAATAGATAATAATTACAAATTACGCATTATTTTGCCTATCTCTATAAAAAAATCGTAATAATAAAGACGTGACTGCACATAACCACCAAGACAAACAACAAAACACCGACCTCCTCCTTAAGAAGAAAGTTCAACTGCCTAATAGTCATATAATTAGCGCTCCAAAACATTCTTAATGGTTACTAAGTGTAATTGAAGACACTATAATGAATCCATAAATTTAATGGTATCTATTTCTTTGCGAAATGTTGCAAAACCCAAACGCAGCGCTAAACAAATCAGTAATCTTGAAAGTCCCAAATCCCAACTCCTGTTTCCCATTGCCAGTTGATTTCTGTCGACTGTTAGTTGTCAGCTGTTAAATTCTTATTTTACCTAATGTAAATGTCATATTGGCAGTTGGAAGCATAGTGATGTAATAATAGCTAAAGCATAAAAACTGATATATATTATTATATATTATTATTCTATGTATCAATTGTTATTCTCATTAATTATTATAAACATATTATTCTCACGGAAAGTGATCCAGATTACATGCGCAGGTAGTAAGTTACATTATACATTAAAGTTTATTGGTGGGCACATAAAGTAGCTAACGAGCGCAGCCTCCACTCGCCAAAAGCCTCGACGAGGCGCCCTTTAGAGTCTGGAACCGGGTTATGATTAGTAAATACGTTAATAATAACTAAACTGTCCTTACTTTATTATACTAATATGGATTTTTGCTACGATACCTTCGTCTCCCTTTTTTTATTATCACTAACTCCTATATAATCAACTTCATAAAGGAGGGTTCAACCGGATTTGGATATCTTCAATAATTTAGACTTTTCAATGGTGATCCACCAATTACTTCGAAACTAAGTCATATCGCTATGAAGGTATTTTATTTAAATGAGGTATATTCCAACCTGGAATACTCCAGCTTCATCAAAATCGGTGCAGTAGTTTGAGATATGGATATCCAGCCGTTGTATTAAGTCGACAAGTAGGTATTATATAGGCACCTCGATGAATAATATTGACAGATATGTATTTGAAGTCAGTTTATTTTTTCTAAATTACTTTTAAACATCTCATTACATAACATTTCCCCCCTAATTAATAAAAAATAAATCAAGCAATTGCACCGTTTTTACTGATACTCTTCTCTTTCTTTTTATGATAGCGTAAAAGCAATTCGAAAGAAAGGGACGAAAGAGTTGAGTGTAATTCCTCTTTATTATTTTAAAACGAGGGTTAAGTTCGGTGGAGGTTGTTGGAGGCATGTTCAAATAAATGAATCTGTTTGTTTGAAGCTAAGTGTGAACTGGTAATCTTTCAAAACATGAGCTAATAACTAACATTAAATTAGGGGTAGTGCCTAGTGGGGTTGCGACTAGACTTACAAAAAACTAGTTTGACTACTTATAATAATGTAAGTATCTTAGTTTAGTCGACCTGTTAGACATTATTGGAAAGGAGAATATTATAATACAATTTATGAGTGTATGAAAACGAAAGGTTCTTAATGTATGAAAATGAATGAGTGTATGTAAATTAAAGGTGTCTTCAAGTGAATGATGATCGTTAACATATTTTGTGCTTCTAATGATTAACTAAAATATATTTTATATAGGGTAAGTGGGGGCAAGATGAAAAATGGGGTAAGACAATTAATCGTCTATAACACCAGTTTTAACGTATTTTTTTGAATGCTGGTATTTTTATTAAAACACACATTCGAAGTAAGCCACCCAGAGTGCGTGGAGTGCGTAAATTTTAATAATTTCGCCGTCGTGATTTTTTCGTAAAATCTTCAAGTGATTTGATCTTACTCCGTGTACTGTAATTTTAATTACAAGGTAGGTACGGCTGTTTCATAGGAATATTTAATTATAGTTTTTTATTCTTAGTTAGGAAATCACATGAAAATACGGCTATTTTTAGTCAATTAGGAAATATCTCAACTTTCCATCTTTACCCAAAAAAATACGGGGCAAGATAAATATATACTTACTATAGGTAGTTTATCTTACTCCGTTCCCAAGTGTCATACAAAAATTCAGTAATTCTCAAACTTTAACTGGTAACAGGAAATAAATTGGCAACGTACCTAGTTCATTTGTACGGGATTATGTATAGGTACATTACCGAATATGCAAAGATAAGTAAAAATTAAATAAATTAAAATTCGATTTTAAATATCTTATCTATCTAAATTTTTACTTAAAATAAAATCCGGCGTTAAAAGTATTACATTAAGTCACCCTCCTGTCTTTGCTCGTGAATTCGAAATGAGATTAACGAATGGCCATAAAGTTTTGGAAAAATGGGGTTTTGAGCTATCTAGAAAAGAAGTAAATTTTCTCGTGGGACGCTATATTACCACATTAAAGGACGAAGTTCCAGGACCAGATTGGTTCACTTAATTCTGTAAACGTCATGGACGACTTTCTCTGAAAAAAATTGCTTGAACATTGCACAAATAAACATACTGACCCGTACATTATTCCGAAAGAAGGGAACCCCTTCCTCTCGAACATGGCACAGGCAAATAAAATACAGTGATATTTTAACGGCCGTTAGTCCAATTCAAAAAAATATATCCCCTAAATTTTATGATGGGATTCGTGGAAAATTCAGATGGCAAAAGTTTGAGAACGTCTGTTTCAATCTTTCCCCGTTGGGGTAAGATTGATATATAAAAAACAAACAATCAGCTGTATCTTTGTTAAATAAAGGTATTTTTTCCTAAAGTCAGATGTGAGTTTTCAAGTCACTAAAAGCTATGGACTTAAAACCGTTGACGATAGCTCACATACATTTTAACGATTTTAGAAAAAAATTCAATCTTTCCCCGTCACGTTTTCATCTTTACCCTATTTTGTAGTCGTATCTTTATTTTTTATTTACTTATTTTCTCTGCTTTGGAACAGATTTAACAATATGTTATTGATATGATAGAAAAGTATAGTTTTTGCTCGTTACTTATCAAAGCCATTAATTAGTATAGGTTAATATATACGTATTGTTCTGCAAGAGGTTCAAACACAACTCCGCTCATCTCATCAAAAAACCGTTAAATCTTCCCACCACAGCTCACGGCTTATATGTAAGTAACTTAACTAATTTTAGGTTAGATTACTCGAGTTAGGGTTTTTAATACACATAATGATACCTAATACAGTTAAGATTTACGGATATAACCTATGTTATTTCCGTCAAAATTTATTATAATGGGTTAAGCCATTAAACAGTAAGAAAACCTAAATAACATTAACAGTAACATTGGTAACAAACGTAGTCGGAACTTTGTCTATGCGCACATTTATCACACTAAAGGAAAATGTGAAGGAAAATATCGCGCGGAAACCGGCGTGCCTGAAGTCTATTGTCTCAGGCACAGAATTTTGTAGTTGGTTATATTTTTTTAAAGCTTTCGAGTGGCCCGAAAAACAGAAAAATCTAGGTACCTATCAGTGTTGCCAGACGTCCCGATTTTTAAATCAAAATGAAATGTCCCGCGCGGGACAGGCTTAGTCCCGCTTTTCAGGAATAACTCGATGGCAATAAGAAGTGTGTACTACCATCACCGCACAATAATGGTACCAACTCTTTCAACAGTAGGTATCCAAAAAAAAATACCAGGATTATCTTCAAACTTTATTTTAAGTATCCTACCATCAAACTGCTTTCCAAAACGCCTTCTTTTTTAAATGCTTCGTCAATTTAATGAAATCCGAGTTACTCATCAAGTTTAATCTACAGCTATCGTGTGAAGAGTTCTTCGTCTTTTTAAAGAGAAAAATGAAACTTTTAAAGAAGTTATATCTTCATAGAAATATTATGAATAAGTAATTCTTATAAATAATTATTGTCTTATTGTAAGTTGGAACTTGAAACACTCACTCTTCAGAATATTGTTTGAAACGCTATATTTTTCTAATAAATAAAACTTTTTTTATTTTGATTTTTTTGTTTTTGAATCAGAAGATGAATAAGAACTATGTAACGATAGGTTTAATCTGATTTAAATACATTTTCTGTGACTATTTTCGCTGTCTATTGTCACGCAAACGTGATTTGAACTCAATTAAAAACATAAATATTTAAAAACTTCTGATTATTTAAAATTTTTTTTGCTTTACTTGACTAAAAATAAATCTGGCAATGCTGGTACCTATCGTTATTTCACAAACAATAATACAAAACATGAATTCAGTTGAACTGTTTAACATAAATAAATTAGATCAAATTTCTGATTGTGGGAAGCAAATAAAGAAACAACAAAAATTAAGATAAAAAAGAAATTGTAGTTAATAATATAATATATTAACAAACTTTTTACTTTTTTGCTTTAAGCAACTGCATAGCGAGTAATTCTGCTTCACTAACAGACAGAGATGCTGATATATCTTCAAGTTTTCTTAGTTTTCTAGGAATTACACTTTCTTGAACTATGCCTTTGTTCTCCATGAGCTTTCGCTTTGTAGGCCTGTAGGAAAAGTTTTAAAGAGTTAAGTTTTGAAAAGTTCTATCTGCTTTGGCAAACAAACAAAAGACAAAGCCGATTTTACTGTGACTAGAATTTGTTAAAAAAGTAAATACATATTTTTAAGATGTAGCCTAAACCTAGGAAAAACATACCTATGATATTTTTCATCTTCTGATGCACTAGACAGTGAGTCATCTTCAGATTGAGAAGATAATATTTTGCTATCGCTGTCATGTTTTGGCTCATAGACTTTGTCTGGATCAGGTAGCCAAGAAAGGTCAGGTCCATCAGAGTCTGTCTCAGATCCAAAATCATCTTTCTCACCATCCTCTTTTTTCTTGCTTTTCAATTTCCTTTTCTGTTCTTTATGCTTTGCTTTGACCTTTTCTCTAAATCTCATTTTGTCAAACTTATCTTCTTCTTGTAAAACTTCTTTGGCTTTTTCTATATCAATTCCACCAACATCTTCATTCTCAAATTGCTTAGCTAATTCTGATTTAACATCTTTTTTCTCGTCATCTATAGCTTCACCATCATCAGTGAATTTTATAGTTGTGTTAACTTTTATTTTCTTTTTAAGAATTTTTTTAGCTACTGCAGCTTTTGTAATGGGCTTCTTTTTCTTAGAAGGTTTGACATCCACAATACTGACTGGTTCAATATCTACATCTTTTTTCTTAACATAAAGAAAGTCATCTTCATCACTATCTGCCTCATTATAAAAACTAAATGTATGGACTTCCTTCTTATTTGATACCACTTTGGGTTTTCCTAGGTCAATTTTATCTTCTGTATCACTTGCAGGTGTATCATTTCCTGTTTTTGTTTTTAATTTTTCAATCATAAAAGCATTTTCTGTTTGCTTTAGATTATCATGAAGAGCTTTATTCTTCTGGATATTTTGCAAAAATCTTATTCTTGGTGGAATAATCAAGCCAAGTGACTTAGCATATGCATCAGTGTCTAGACAATGGACATTAAATATGTCTTTGTTCTTCATAAGAAACACAGATTTTAAATAACTTACAAAAGCTCTCTGTGCTGTTTGCTTTAGGTCTGTATTATCTGAAAGTAGAGCTTCTATTTTTCGTTGGGGTGACATAAGCTTTGAGGGATCTACTGATATTTTGTTAATAGGAATTTTACTATTATTGAGGTCTTCTACAATTCTTTCTTCAGTTGGCAACAACATTAATAAACCTTCTCCTTTACCAAATACACCTCTAGCTGTCCTGCCTGCTCTGTGAATATAAGTTTCTACATTTTCAGGGCAATCATATTGTATAACCCAATTAACTCTAGGAAAATCTAAACCTCTAGAAGCCAAATCTGTTGCAAATAGCACAACATTTGATTTTCTACAGAATTCTTGATAGATTCTTTCTCTTTTTTCCTGGTGAAGTGTGCCATAAAGAGCTAACAAACTAACTCCTGGCCTTAATTTACAAAACAATTCATATGTATATTTCACTTGTTTACATGTTGCCATAAAAACAAGAACCTTTTGTTTCAAGTGATTTTTAATAAATGACCATAGTATACCCAATTTCTCATCAATCTCACAGACAATAAAACTTTGTTGAAGAGATTCTGGTGTGACAGTATCAGCCTGTTCATGTGGGGCCACATATGTTGGAAATGATAGACTAAGTCTAGCTAAATCTTTAACTGATTTTGTTTGTGTAGCTGAGAACAATAAGGTCTGTCTTTTTGGAGGCAAATTTTCTATAATTGCATTCATAGCAGTCTCAAATCCCATGTCGAGACATCTATCAGCCTCATCCAAAACAAGCATTTGAAGATTACTACAATCAAAGAGGGGATTTTCATCCATATGCTGAAGTAATCGGCCTGGAGAGCAAATAAGTATATTTATTTGGTCCATTCTTTTTTTTTCAAATTTCAGATTTTGACCGCCAATGATTAAACCTGCTGAAAAATCATGGAAATGTCCAATTTTACGAAGTGTTTCGTAAATTTGATAGGCTAATTCTCTTGTGGGTGAGATTACAATTGCTCCAACACCATCTAGCCGTGTCCATTTTTTACAGAAGAGTAGTTCCAGAATGGGAATTAAAAATGCTAATGTCTTTCCAGAACCAGTCTTTGCAGCTCCTAAAATATCTTTACCTTGTAAAGCATATCCTATGGCCTGTCTTTGAATATCTGTAGGAGCTATGTAATTATTATCTTTTAATCCTCTCAATGTTTTTTGCGACAGTGGCAAGTCTTTAAAAGATTTAATATCTTCAGGAATTATCTAGAATAAATACATGACCTCATATTAAAAAAAAGCTTACACGGTATATGAATTCACTACGGCAGGTGTATGTTCACAATATACTTACTTTATCATATTGGCTCTGTAAATATTGTATAGCAGAATCCTCTTCAACACCCTTTTTTTTTCTAGGTTTAAAAAGTTTGTGTTTTGTTTTCTTTGAATTTCGTTTCTCCGAGTTATTCTCATTTGTCATATTGCATTCAGAAATAATAAAATATGTATTACAAATATTTCCTTTAAGGACTAAAAATATATCAGATACATGAGCACATGTTAATGACAGTTGACACTAATTGACATTTGACAACCTATTAATCAAGGATAGCAGCCAGCATGAGAGAATGAGACAATTTGAATTGAAACTTGAAAGCACAATGCACATGCCTGTTATGGATGTCGTATTATATATTATCTAAGAGCCCTCTAAACTCTTTAGTGTTGAGTAACAAGCTTTTTATTAATCAGATTTTATTTTGATAGAATACGTGCGTAAGAGTGCGTTGACGCAAAGTAGGCTGAAAACCAGCTTTCATACACATACATATTGTAGGAATTTTAATTCGCAAGTGACACACTCCACATAACGGATATTATTCCTTTTGACGTGACAACGTCTTATAATTGATGGAGCGGCTGCACGCACGAAAAACATGACTCATGCGGCGTTACCTCGCTCTGAGGGTTACCTTTCTGAGGGTTACCTCGCTTGAGTCGTTACCTGCTCTGAGGCTTCCATTTAAAATTGACATAATTTATTTATCGTACAAATAAATTAACTTGATCAATTCAATTGTATTTCATTTACCTCCTTCTCTATATCCATACAAAATACCTATCAAACAAATAAAATTTAATTTTTTTTTTGAAAAATGCAACCATCCATAATATTTTTTTATGATTGTCATTCAACTATTCAGTAAACCGACTTTAAGACAACCGTTTTTTTTTGGTTAAATTCGTTTCATTTTTTTTTTATGGCAATAGTTTTAACTTTATGCCAGTTTTAATTTTTATTCTTTAGCTTTACCAGACAGATTGAACCACAGACTGCCTCCCGTATATTTCTTTTTTAAAAAAGGATGCCATACTTGATAATTGATATAAGTTTATTTTATCTGTGTGATGCTGCGTACAATATATTTAAAGGGAAACACTGGGAAAACACAAACAATACTACTTATAAAGCCGAGTTTATAGCACGTCAGTTCTAGATTTTTATTGCTTAATCATCTAATTTAAAAGGAAGAAAAGAGTAATTATTTCAGCAACATATCATCCTACCGGCCCGATTCTTTGTTGTGGTGTACGTATTTTTTACTGTAAGTTTCTTTACAATGCTAAATATTATGTATTATTAAATTGTCATTACCTATTAAGTTAAAACTTAGATGTATTTTCCGACACCATCCTTGGTTATTTTCTTTAATTTAGTTAAGAAATCACATTGCAAAATTCGATCCGGTTTACAAAGAACTTTGTTTAGCATCTTCAATCGACACGCATAACAAAGGAAAACTGCTACTAAATATTATTTAATCTCTTATTTCTGGAATTTGTAGATGTGATAAAAATTTAAAAGAATTAACAATTTTTGTATAAAGGATAGTAATGGAAATTAATAAATCTTTTTATTAGGTGCTATAGACGTATACAAACATGAAAGGCGTAGTCTGCGTGTTGCTAGCTGTTGTGGTAGCAGTGAGCTCTGTTAGCTTCTTTGACCTTGTGCGTGAGGAGTGGAATGCCTTCAAGGTATGTAATTCTTTCTAATTTTCCTTAAAATACACACCTTACTCATATAAAGTAGTTGCAACTTTAAAATTTATGTTGAAACAGCTGGAGCATAAGAAGGAGTATGATAGTGAAGTTGAAGACAAGTTCCGAATGAAGATCTTTGCAGAGAACAAACACAAAGTAGCCAAACACAATGCACGCTTCGAACGTGGTCAGGTGACCTACCGCCTCAAGCCGAATAAATACTCTGATATGCTGCACCATGAATTTGTCCACACCATGAATGGCTACAACAGAACGCTCAAGTAAGTCTTATTTATTATTTTCTACATTTCATATTACATAATTACTACCTAATCCAGCCATAAGCTCTGTTACAAATGAAAAAGCATTTTTTTTTAAATGAAGTAATGTAATATTATTAAAGTTTATACTTACATATTTATTAGTCTCAGCAAAAAAAAATATTCTGTTTGAAATGGCCACCTTTGGCTTTTATACAGGCCTCTAATCTGTTTGGCCACGAATCTATGCATTTACGCCCTGTTTCCAAGTGAAATTTCGCCACTGCTTGCTCCAAAGATTTTTTAAGAGACTCAATGTCGCCGTGTCGTTTAGAGCAGGCCGTGTCTTCTAAAACTGATCATAATTTGATGTCTAAAGGGTTGAGGTCTGGGCTAGATGATGGACAGTCTTCAGCTCTTATAAAGTCCGGATCGTTGGTTTCAAGCCAGGCTTGGGTAGTTCGTGCCTTGTGACTAGGTGCAGAATCCTGCTGGAAAGTCCAAGGTATATTTTTAAAAAGTGTATTGCTGAGAGGTTTCACGACATGATCCAAGACTGTATCTTGATACACTTTGGCTGAAGTATTTTTAGTTGTAAAGATTTGTTTAGGTCATATCCTGTATATCGACGATAAGCACCGAGCTTCAAGTCTTGTTTTATCATACGCGACAGAGTCCTAGCGGGAATCTTCATTTCTCGTGATAAGATTTTTTGCTTCCTAATGGGGTTTCGAGGAATTCTGTTTATAACAGCATAAACAGCCTTAGTAGTTCTAGCAGCACGCGGCCGCCCCGATCTTTTCTGGTCTTCGACAGACGAAGTGTTGTTGTATCTGTCGATAGTACGATATACGACCATACGGCTGATACCAAGCTTTGTGCAAGGCAATCACTGCAATCCTATTTTCTCTAACACCCCATTCCATATTATAATTTGATAATGAATACGAAAAAATATGTGAAATGGCGCAAAATCGAAAGAAGTTTTTAAAATAGTATACGTGTTCCAAATTCAATTAAAAAGTTGAAAAAAAAGTTTTTATGTAACAGTATTTATGGCCAGACTAATTATATCTTGCTCACCTTAAAATCAAAAATTTAAAAGTAAACAAAACAATTTGGTTACATGAGATGTCATTGACATTAAGAGCACTTAATCTTAGCTTATCAATAATAATAAAAAAAGGTATCATGAAAAGGGCAAACATTATGTTATCTCTCAACCTTCAATAAATTTGCAGTAAGATTAGTATCCATTATAATACTGAAGTAAACCTAAAATTTAAGCAATAATATTTTACTTTAAATTTATTTTTATGTATCGAACTGCGTGGAGAAACAAAACCCCATATTGTTACTTACTGTCCATCCACTTAATTTTTCATTTCATTTCATATCCAAAGACGGTTTTCAGTTTCAAACTTTAAAAAAATATAATTCAGGTTTTTAGTTACCTAAAAAAATTTATTAATTTATTAGTGTTAATCATGTGACCAACATTTTCCTTCTAAAGCAATGAAGATAACAAGTGTTTGTTTACTCTCCAATTTTTTTGTGTCCTTCTGATAAGCATTTTAGGTCAATATTTGGTTGCAAATTGCAATCATAAATATTTATTATTATATTATAATATATTATATTATAAACAAAATTGTTTGTTCAAAATATCTTTTGGATAATTTGATTACACCATTTAGTTTGCTATAATACTGTGGCCAAGGGCTGGTTCCCTGGTTTAAATGAGTACTGACTCTGGCAATAATGAAAAAGTAGGTTGGTAGTGTATCATGGTATTTCAAGTATTATGATATTCACAGGCACAACAAGGGTCTTTACGGAAAGGGGCGTGATGTTCGCGGCGCGCGCTTCATTTCCCCGGCTAACGTTCAGCTGCCTGAACAAGTGGACTGGCGTCACAAGGGAGCTGTTACAGATGTCAAAGACCAGGGCAAGTGCGGTTCTTGCTGGTCTTTCAGCACCGTAAGTATCTACAAATCACATCCGCACTTACGTTTTAATACACGCACGTTCAAAAATCACGTTATAAATTATTACGTGACTGTAACGATTTTTAAAAGAATTTTAATAATTTAATACTGTTTAAAATCTTGCTAATGATAAATATAATATATTAAAATATAATCACTGCTTGGTGATTGTCGTCACTAGGTGAAGGTCAATCAATAAGTTAAAGTAGGTAATAATCCCAGCAGTCACGTGGATTCGTCTTGCTGTATGAAAACCAACGTGCCTGACTTGCTTGTTTTAATAATTTAATATTGTTAAGTCGGTCGTTGCGTGTTGGCCAAACAATTAAAATTATTGCATCAGCAGTAGGAAGACTCAGGCGTATTCAACTCGAAGATGGATATTTGACCTAACAAAGAACAGCTTTATGTTTATTATTTTGAATATAAATATTGACAATAACATGATTCATGCGATAAAGTTCAATTCCGTTTAGCCTAGATACTAATTAAACATATGACCAGATGTAAAATATAATGATCTGAATTATAGAAACAATGAGTTATGAGTGTAATAACCGGTTAGTCATGCTTACCTCGAATCATTATTATTTATTTATTATATATAGGTACATTTGTTAACACGGTTATACGATGAACTATCTTTATTATTAAGAAAATAACAGAATACAATATACAGTCAAAAAAATCTATTATAACGACATCGATGATCGAAGGGACTACTTATATTTGGTCGTAAAAACGACAGTCGTAACAGCCGATGACTTTGTTATTAAGTACCTAATACACAGAATTCAGTCGGCAGCTTTGATTTTGGTCTATATAACCGGTATGTATGTTAAGTACTTCTAATATAATATTAGTAATATATATTAGAAGTATAATAATATAGTAATTCTCAACGATTCCATCGTAAACGGTTTTGACTGCATACCCTTTTTTCTTATACAATTCTTCTATATAACTATAATAATCTAAAAATAGTTGATACCACATTACGTCATAGTAGTTTTTCTAACAACAAAAAATTGTTCGACGGATTCAGTAAAAAATTAAATCTTATGTTATAAACTGCTAACAAAACCTAAGAAGCCCCACTAACTTGCTTATATATACGAGTATGAGGTAAAATGCGATGATAATGGAAATTACGCAGTTATAAGTTCTGACTTATGTTTTTCTAATACTGGTTTGGGTTTCGGTGTCATCCACACAAGTGTTTTATTATCAAGTAGGTCAACGTTTCATAAAAACTAGAACGGGCACAAAGAACCATTATTATTGAATAAAGTAATAAACTCTTACAAGGAAACTCGTTCTCAAATATCGGTTTCCGGTTTGTACAACAACAAACCATTCGGTCTAATTTTATACAAAATATACACATAACGTAACATAAAACTCTTTTGTATTTGAATATATTGTACTGTTACATGAATATGAATAATATGTTAGAATACCGTATTTTGTTTATTTATTTATTATTCGGCTAGCGGTATGAATTATTTTTATTTAAGAAAGTTTTCATATTTAAATAAATCTTTATGGATAAACAGTAGGTTTCTTAATAAAAAGCATTTTATTTTAGGTGATGCTTGCCACTATTACGAGTATAATAATAAGTATAATGTCTATTTATAAAAAAGCAGGTTACATAAGTTATTAGGCAACGGGTGGCCTTATCGCTATCGCGATTTCTTCCAGTCAACCCTAATATGGAACAATAAAAAAAGAAACGGTTACAAAGGGTAAAGTACAAGAAGTGCCTAAATAATTAAAGAAAACTCAAACTCAAAATAACATATAACTAAAATAAAGTCAAAGCGAAAAATAAATAAATAAATAAACAATAATATATAAAAACAAAAATGTATAAGCTAATCCAAGGGTTATTTGAGTCACAATTAAAATATAAAAGTAGTAGCTAATTACGAGGCAGAATAAAAATGATCAAAAAGAAGATTTTTAAATAAATTTAAAGACCGAGCTCGTCTGATATCGATAGGTAAGGAATTCCATAGATTCCAATCGATTCCATTTTCATAATAATTTCTATGTATTAATTATAATATTATATTGGTTAATGTTTAACTTTTTCTTCGATAAAAATCATTTTCGCATTTGTATTATGGTAATAATCGGCCGCAAGAAAATAAATTTTCATAATCCACAGACTGGCGCGCTAGAAGGTCAACACTTCCGACAGAGCGGATATCTAGTATCTTTGTCCGAGCAGAACTTGATCGACTGTTCAGCGTCATACGGCAATAATGGTTGTAACGGAGGACTCATGGACAACGCGTTTAAGTATATCAAGGATAACGGTGGCATCGACACCGAGCGGACTTACCCCTACGAAGCTGTGGATGACAAGTGCCGCTACAACCCTAAGAACTCCGGCGCTGATGATGTAGGCTTTGTTGACGTGCCAGCCGGAGATGAAGAAAAGCTAAAGGCGGCTGTGGCCACCATAGGACCCGTGTCCGTGGCTATCGATGCCTCACAGGAATCTTTCCAGATGTACGCCGACGGTGTCTACTACGACGAGAACTGCTCCTCTGATAACCTCGACCATGGGGTAATTAATCTATTTAATATAATTTAAATAACAACTTGTCGTTAGCATATTAGCAATAAGTCTATGCGATTTATTCAGTCATGTTCAAATGCCTTTCTCTAGGAACGGCCAAGGACTTAGTATTGTCTTTTATTAACATAACTTTTACACATTTAAAGAAAACACTTTTTTATAAGTTTATAGTAATACATAGCTTCAATCCGTTAAAAAGACCAATGACCTGTCAGGTTAATGTTTTAAATACTTTAAGAGGAAAAACATTAAATTGCCCGTCGGAAAAAGGTGGACTTTTATCTGTTTTAACCTTTTTACAGAAAAAACTTTGAATTATTTATGTTTTCAAACAATATCTTAAGTTCATAATGATGATTAAAGCATTGCAATTATAAGTATATAATCGCGATACGCGATGATGAAATATTACCCTATGTAAACAAAGGTATTAATTATAATTTATAAATATCATATCAGTAGATTTATTTTTTATGGACAATAATATTTTAATAGCCAACATTTTACTATCTAAATAACCGTAAGAGGCGATAAGGAAGTTTTTAAACCAGATTGAACTCTTAACATACTTCATAGGTAAACAAAAATCACAAACAATAATCGGTGTAATTTAAAACAGAACAGAGAAATCAAATATTAAGTATTGTCCGGGCCATTTTGTATTTCTTATCTCTTTCAGAGTTTTTTCTAATAGTTTGTGTGAATAGGTGCTCGTGGTGGGATACGGCACAGACGAGCAAGGTGGCGACTATTGGCTTGTGAAGAACTCTTGGGGCCGCACCTGGGGAGAACTCGGCTACATCAAAATGGCGCGAAACCGCGACAACCACTGCGGCATCGCTTCCGCCGCCTCATACCCTCTTGTTTAATTTCATGCACTATGCAGTACTTCGAGATTAGCTGTAGTGAATAGTGTAATTCGAAATCTACTTGAATCCAGGAGTATTGTATTTGTGTTAAGTTGCAAAAAATACTTTTTATTACTGTGTGATAATTGCATTCTATATTAGTTTGTAGGATAATTGTAAATTTTAAGGTAAAAAAATGAGATTCTCTCTAATTATTAGGTTACAATATTATTAGAAAGTAAGACAATAACTGTTTAGCTCTCAACACTTATGATAATTTAAGTCTTAATAAAATAATGTTTTGATACTTCTTTTCGTTTCAATTCTATTCCCACTTAGCTACTGAAAAAAAAACACCATTATAACTCAGGCATGGTTTATTAGTTTTGAAGGCCCGTAACCCATTTCATCACCATTAGCGAATGGTGCGTGGGACATTTGTGCCTTTAATGAAACTAAGACTTCCGGGTCATACGCAATGTGCATTATATGCCATGAATCAGCTTAAATCTGTTCTGAATCTTGTATGATATGATATGACTGTAAAGAAGCATCCAAAATTATTTAAAACATAAAGAATATTGCTTGTATATACCGAGGGATCGAACATGGCTGCGAGTGCCTGCATGTTGCACCGCGCAATATTCCTAAAATTGTTACGCCATGACTATAAGAATATTTAATCACCTTCCTAGAAGTTATAGATCGCTGCCATGTAATGTTTTCAAGGGGAAGGTGGTTAGGTTTATAAAGTCAAGGTGCTTTTATAGCTTGAGCGAGTATTTAGATTTTAGACCATAAGTTTAACAATTATAAATGACTTAACTTCTTATTATGACATTATGTTAATGTTCTTATTACATGACATTGCAAAAAAATTATATGACATTTGCATGCCTATTTATATATGGCTGATTGTGCGGATTTTTCTTGTTGATCGATCTAATTGTACCACTATCTTGGCAAATAACCGATTTATTTATTAATATTCTACAATGCTTACACTTAAGAGTCCCTCCTCTCTTCGAAAAAGTTTGATATAAATTAAGAAGTAAGGGAGCATTATTATAACAAATATTATTATAACCTTTTAAGTATTATTTGTTATTGTATACAAATAAAACAGTAAATGCGCATTTCATTTAAGTAGGTACGTCTGACCGTTATCATGACCCGACACTTGCCTACACGTGTGCCGCCGCTGCTGTATATGTACATTTACATACGATTATATTAGGTAGAACTAAAATATTTTCTACCATTTAAATTCTTATATAAACTTTGCAAGGGGTCAAAGCAGTAAAAAGCTAGTCCACACTCATATATCGAGATTTAATTTATTATAAATTATTCACATTTAGGTATTTACATCGTAGACCCTTTGACATTTCGGCGTTCAACTTTCTTCATATTTTTAACATATAAAGACTAGAATTTAATGATACTTCACTCACTATAAATTAAAAACATACCCTAAGATAATAAGTAAATATATGAAGCTAAGATAAATTTAATGATATTTTCATACTATTTCGCAATTACATTAAATTGACAAGAAAAAATACTGTAGAAGTCAATAATTTGTTAACTAATTGTTTAATAATTAAGTTAATCAAAAAGCTTTTTTTATTAGGAGTGATAGGTTTACTTACAAACAAATCCTAAGTAATAATAAGTACCACTTACTGACTAATTTCCAAAATTATTTTATAATATACACAAACACGATTATTATCTTAAAAATGCAATATTAATCAAACAATAAAACAACAATTCTTTGTGCACACTTAAATATCTGCGTGAATTATCTACAATTATTAAGTATAGAGAACTGATTCGCTTGGCTTTTCTTTACATTACTACATTACTCTCAGTGAAGTTATATTACCATAGATGAGTAACAACAAAAGATCATAGCAAAGGGCAGTCATGGCGATCTTGATTACTAAATATTTGGCAGAGGGTTGGTGTGAGAGACTATTTCTTCTTCGGCTTCTTAGGATTGCGCGAGCGACTTTTGGCTTTGCAGAGTGGACAGATAGGGGCATTACGGTGAATTTGCTGATGGCATGACAGACATGACTTCATCGGAGGCGGTTGTTGCCTGCAGACATATACACATAACAAAATAATAAATTATTAGTCGTAAATAAGAACTAAGACAAAATCGTTTAAATGGGAAATGTAGAAATTTTGATTATTGTATTTTTTTTATAATTAAAAATATAAGAAGCGTGATTCAGAGGTGGGCAGTGAGTGGAGTGGAAGAGAAGGAAGGAAATGCAACACAATAGACAAGTCAAACCTGAGAGAGACTGTAAGGAAATCTTGTTGGAGAGCAGACCTAAAGGCGGGCGGCGGAGGCGGAGGCTTGCGCGGTGCTGGAGCCACAAACGGAGGCGCACGTACGGGACCCGCAGGAAAGCGGCTGAAATAAAATTTACATTTAAAGTCTTCATTGATAACGAATTTGTCAAAAATATGGTGTCAACACTATAGTGTCGCGAAAGAGACTGCGCTGTTACAGCAAGCTATTGTTGAAGTGAAGTTTTTGTCGAAGAAAAGGTAGAGAGCGACTGAGACCGAATGAGAGAGTGAGAAAGGCGAACTCCCTTATAGAAATTCTATTTTTAAAATTAAAATTTCATAAAGAGAATTTTAAAAATATTAGTGTTGTATATTTAATGCTAAATACTTAATTGAAATCTCAAATGACGAATTGTACGTTAAAATGCCACGTGTTTTTATTATCGAAGAAATAAATTAAAAAAATTAACTTTATAATTTGTATTAATTTTTGACACTTAATATTTCAATGAAAATTAAATTCATTAAATTCCTAATATATCTTCCTTTTTCCCTCCCTCAGGTCTCGGAAATCTAAAGTTTTAGATTTGTATAAATATGAACAAGACTTAAAAACTAGTTTACCAAAGAAGTTTCACTTCTGACATGTGTACTTTGTACGCACACACTTTTTTTAATATTATAACATTCGTTAAAGTCCAGTTCAGACGTCAAAGTCCAGTAACTTCAAGTTTGATGTTGCATGGAGTTTACACTGTGAACTATTTTATCTTTCACAAACAATTATTATAACAAACATATAAGTTATGAATACAATATAGGTACTGACTCAGGAGTTATCGGACTGCCTTCTTCCTCATGCAAGTCAGGGAGGCGGTCGAGGCCCAGACACTGACGCCGCAGTAGGTCGACCTCAGCCTTCAATGGACGGTAATCCTCGTGCAACCGTGACGCCGTACTTAGCTTACGAGTCATGCTCTCCTCGGTCTGCTTTATTACTGTCTCCATCTATGAACGTAGCAATTCCAGATTACTATAAAAACATAGATAATTCTACAACTATAAAAGAATCAAGGTAATGCATAAATGACTCACAAAGATAAATATATTTTGGACAGGAAATACAAACAAATGGAATGTTAACAGCTGTTACTGTAATAGACAATCACAAGCTATACATACAAACCATTGCAATAACAAACACTAGATCCAATGACCACCTGGTTCTTAAAATAACTCATGACAAAGATGAAGATACTTCTTTATCTAATAAAATTTAGAATTAAGAAAAGTGTAGTGAAATACTACTACAAGTAAATGTAACTTCCAACTATTAGTATAACAATATATTTAATAGGATATTACTCAATATAGGTGTTTAAATTTTAACAACTTTGATAATATTTGAAACATCTATAACTAAAGCTATCAAATCAAAACTAACGGCGTTAATATCGGCATGTATCTGACGTAGCTCCTCAACGTGACTCATCTTCTCCTGTTGTAGCATCTCCATCTCACGCTTGTACTGAGCCAGGCATCTTCCTTCTTGGTCTCCGCTACGGACTTCATTTAAAATACTTCGTTTTAGTCGTTCCAGCGTGATCGTCTTGTTTCTATTAAATGTAAGCATAAATTGAACTAAGGCACAAAACAGCCCGTGTGATCAATAGAATTTAGTTTGTTATTCAATTTTAAATATGTATTTAGGATGTAATTTTTTACATTGAGGGTAAACTGGAAAGAGTATTGATTGAGTGAGTCCACAGGTGTAAAAAGAGTAGTAGTATTGCATGCAAGTATTACACGATTACCTGATTTCTTTCATTGCTTCTAATTTGTGATATATTTCTCTTTCGTTTTCAGCTGTCATTCTCTGTGGACTACTGAATATAATAAGTTTATTTGCCTCTAGAACTATTTTAATAATTCGATTTCGAATACAAAATTAATAACAGCCTGAGCTAACCACAGAATACCAAATAGATTTGTAATATACTAGCTTCTATGTAAAACAGCCACAGATAAAGTAGAGATACAAACATGAGTAAATTATAAAAACTAGACTCATTGAATATCGTGAGTCGAGAAATTTGTAATAGTACAGGATCCCCACTGCTCGATTCTGCAGTGAGCTGATTTTTGATTACATTAATTTTTAATAAATATTGAGGGAGTATGCAATGGTGTAGCGATACGTGCGTCGATTTTATAGCCAAGACAGTGACAAGTACCGCTATATAATTATACTTTAAATAATAGAGTCTAAAGAGAACAAGCGTGGTTATTTATTTATTTATTTATTTATTTATTTATTTATTGCATTTTAGGAAGATTTACAGTATTTTAACAGAAGGTAAATTGTGATTACAATAAAATAAAGTCAGTACTAATTACAAATCTCCACCTATAGATAATCCATAAATACCTTTAGGAGATAGGAGGGATAAAATTAACAATCATGAATTTATAATACTATGAAACAATTAAAGAACTTAAGTAAATGAAAAATTAAGTATGACTATTCTAATGGAAATAGCTGGATGTGAGTGTGCGTCTCACAGAGTCAATGGAAGAACAGAATAGATCGATGTCAAGCTGGGTTGAATACTGGTTGTAGGTCTGTACACTTCGAATCAAGAATGTATTTTTCCTATAGTTGGTATTAAATGGAGGCATTTTGAAAAGAGGGCGATGTCTGAACCATAATAAGTCAGTTCGCAAGTTGAGCTTTGCTAACATCTCCGGACAATCAACGAATCCCCTAACAATCTGTAATAAATAGCAGACATCGGAAATATTCCTTCGATTTTCAAGGGGCAAAAAATGGTAGCGTTGACAACGGTGATGGTAACCATCAGAATGCTGGTGGGCCTTAAAGTCGAGAAAACGAAGGAAGCGTCGCTGGATATTTTCGAGACGAGCCTTGTATTCCTGGTATTGAGGATTCCAGACTTGTGAGGCGTACTCTAGGTGACTACGCACAAAAGAACAATATAATATTTTAATAGTTTTTAAATGTTTGAAGACAGCTGATGTTCTAATGATAAAACCCAAGGATTTAGAGGCTTTGGAAACTACACTATCAATGTGTCTATCAAATAGCAATTTATTGTCATGGATGACCCCAAGATCCTTAACTTCTACCAGTCTAGAAATTGACTGATTATAGAAGGTGAGATTAACTATCAATGGACTAGGTTTACGGCTAAAACTAATGTGATGACATTTAGACACATTGAGTTCCAACTTGTTTAGGACACAATAATGCTCAAACCTATTCAAATCGGCTTGCAGTAGGTTAATGTCATCCGTGTTATGCACAAACTTAAAGATTTTCATATCATCGGCAAACAGTAATATTTTAGAATTAAGGAAACAATCACCCACATCCAATGTGAACAGAATAAACATTAAAGGGCCCAAGATCGATCCCTGAGGAACTCCTGAAGGAATGGAGACCCAATTAGACAAGAATCCTTGCAGTACAACAGCCTGACAGCGATTATCTATGTAGGATGCGAACCATCTGAACAGGTCACCGTGGATACCTGCAGCCAATAATTTGCATAAGAACACTGTGATCAATTCTATCAAAACATTTAGTATAGTCCGTGTATATCACTTCAACTTGACCACCACTGTCCATTCCCTCAGTAATAAAATCATTAGCTATTATTAGGTTCGAGACGGTTGATCTGCTTCTGAGATAACCATGTTGTTCCACCCCGAAAGAAGGTTTAAGCGCCACATATAGATCATTGTGAACAAGTTTTTCAAGAATTTTAGCGAATAAACATAATTTAGAAATCGGGCGGTAATTCTCAACATTAGATCTATCGCCCTTCTTGAATACAGGTGTAATATAAGCTCTCTTCCATATCTTCGGGACTATGCCTTCTGAGAGAGAACGCTGAAATATAATGGTCAAGGGTACTACCAAGCCAGACGCACAGTTGACTATAAAGACTGGGGGCAAGAGATCAGGACCACCACCCTTACTTAAATCTAATTTACGAATCAGTTTCTCGACCTTCGCATGTGTAACTGACACAGTAGAGATGCTAACGGTACTAGTACAACTAACAGGACTATTATTAACATAAAAAGTGTCATTAGGTTTTAGAAAATTAGACTCAAAATAACTTGAAAACAGGTTAGAAATACCTAAACCAGAATCTGCAGTAGCACCAGTTGTTTTGTAGCACATAAAATTGGGATAAGAATTGGACAATTTTTTGGATTTAACATACGACCAAAAGGTACGAGGATCATGAACTATAGAGGCCTCAATTCTGTGTATATATACCTCAAAGCACTTCTTTTCTACTGTGATTGCCCTTTCACGCAGAGTTGAGAATGATAGGTAATCCGCAATGTTACCATAAATTTTGTACTTACTGTGATATTTATACTTTTCCTTTAGTATTTTGACTAGAGCAGAACTATACCATGGTGGATACAAACATTTTGATACAAGTTTGGACGGAATAAACTTATCACGTAGCTCATAAAGTTTATCATATAGTAAAGTCAGTGCTTCGTCTACAGTACAGTTAAACAAACAAGAATGCCAGTCTATCGAATTGAGAACTGATGTTATAGAATTAAAGTCAGCGCGGTTATATAAAAATTTTAAGGTTTTATCTTGTTCTAGAGTATGTATTTCAACAAATTCTATATCTAAAATTAATGATTTATGATGTTCATCTTCTGGAACCAAGGGTGACATACACGCTTGAACATTCACAGGTGAGTTAGAGAATATAAGATCCAGTATTCTTTGATTAATATTTGATTGTGCGTTATATTGACTAAGATTACAAGTATTAATAATATCAAGAAAATTTTTCAGATAATCAGATTTGTATTCGATAGGTAACAATTCAGTAGACCCCTCAGACCTAACCCAATTGATGTCATCCTTGAAATTAAAATCACCTGTTACAAGAAATACGTCCGAGGGGTGGCTCAATACTAGTTCACCTAATTTATTCGAAAAATTTAACACCTGTGTTTTATAAGAATTACCGCTTCCTTCATTACACAAATAAACCGTACATAAATGTATATTATAGTTTATAGAAGGGTTCCTACGTTTCAAAGTGATTGTCACCCAAATGTCCTCTGCTGAGCTCCTCCACTCCGACCGCTCAACAACCATAAGATCTTTCCGCACCGCTAACAATACTCCTCCACCTAGTTTCTGCGCTGTCCGCGCATAATCACGATCTCGTCTCCATATTATGTAACGAGAATCAAATAATTCACTGCTTAAAATACTGTCAAGAAGCCATGTTTCAGTGATTGCAATAAAATCATAATTATTTAACAATATGTTAGCCAGAAATACGTTCGTTTTAGTGCGCAGCCCTCGAGCATTCTGATAGTAACCAATAAGACCTTTGAACTTAATCATTGAAGAAACAGACAATAAAAGCAATATATTTACCTATACATATCGAAGCATTCATATAGGATAGACAAAGCAACATAACCAATAAATACACCGACTCGCCATTCAAGCAAACTAAAATAAGTACAATTCTATTCAATAAATATTTTTCGTTAGCGAGACAATAGATATACTTAAATGCCGTAAGCAACGTCTTGGAATAATAAATAATCGATCTTATATAAATAGCGTTAGAATCATTACTGGTATGCACTCCATTAGCAGATAAGCAAAAGCAATTCAAACCTGTTTCGATAGTCAACACACAACACAGAACAATGAATGAGAAAAAAACCGTACCATGCCGTAACATCGCACACTCACCGCCAGCTGTTCTCAACATGTTAAATGCAGAGAAAAATAAATGTAATAAGACTTTATGAATAACAATAAAAGTGATAAGGATTATATTATTTTGGAAATGTCTTTTACATTGCGGATATAAATTATTGGTGAAGTGTTGTCCTTCCGTATATGAATTACAGCTCTCTTCACCCATATGTATTGAAAATTATGATGTTTGGCTACCTTGCGAGCTTTGTTCAGCAGTTTGATCTTTGTTTTTGGGAGTGAGGTGGTCGTTTATAAATATTTTATGATTGCCATTAAAGCCCAGATTGGCACATGTTATAGACGACTTTGATCTGGCTAGGTCCTTGGCTTTGGTTCTTGCTGCCGCGATGAAATCTTCCTTGGCGTAACGGTTTAAGAAGCACAATATAATTGGCTTTGGTTGAGTACTATCTCGCACTGGCACGCGAGTAACAAAGTTGATTTGATTTTTCTGGACCGTATAGTTTATTAAATGACCAATAGAATTAACTATATCGTGTAAGTTTTCCTTGTCTCTCTGAGGAACTCCTTTAATCTCGACATTATTAATTCGTGACCATTGCTCGTTATCGTCCGCTTCGCTCTCCAGCTTATCCAGCCTAGTTTGGATAGTACTATACTGTTCTACGATGTTCTGATTGTCAGATTCAACCTTGGACAGACGGGATTCAAAATTCTCTATTTTTGTTTTGAACTCACCGACGACTCCATTCATTTCATTGAAAGAGGACTTCAGCTCCGATAATTCCTTTCTGATTGATTTGACATCTTCTACCAAAGATTCTAAAGGGGCGAGTTTTAAGGAAACAGCTCTAATTTCCTCCAGAATAGTCGACTCAACAGGCTTCTTCACTAGAGGTGATGTAGAGGCGGATGTCGAGACTGCTGTCGAGATTTTACAATTGGCACAGCACCAAGTGAATCTTCTATCACCTAGTCTCCGATATCCTACCTCAGTAATGCCTCCACACTGAAAGTGAAATTCCAACTTGCAGACAGAGCAGGAAGCTCCGTCCCTGATCTCCTCTCCACAGCTACCACACAAGTTAGACATATCGTAAAATAGATAGCGACGATTGAGAATC